GGTTTGCCCTATCAGAATATGTCTTAGCTGTACCCATCCACTGAAACATCGCCGAGATCCAGGCTCTTAAAAAAGCGGGTGAAAAGCCGTTTTACAGCTCATAACTTCTTCAGAACTGCATGAATCATGTTGCGACTTCATAGGTTAGATTCTCCTCTTCAAGAGCTTTCAGATGATATATAATATGTGGGGGATCTAATGTTTCTTGCGGCTCTAACCCGGGGTGGAGTACTCCTCTTCACTAATTCTCCACCCCGCCCATTTCAGTGTATTGGCGGGAGGCCGCCAGTGGAGAATTAGTGAAGAGAGGTACTCCACCCCCGGGCATATGCCGTGGGAGGCGTGAATCCCCCACATATTATATTAGGTTGAACCGAAAGTTCTGTCGCACCATTTTCAAAAAGTCATAACTTCTTTCGGTCACGACGATTTTGCGCAATTCAAATTTTATCTGAAAGCGTAAAGCATGTAGTTTCCAAAAGCTTCCTGGTGAGTCTCCGATGTGCTCAGGTGGCAGAGATAAAGATGAAAGAACGAGATCATTCGAAATTCGGAATTTTTAAGCAAAAATTCTAGAAATTCAGAAATTGTGCGATAAAATCCAGAACAGCCATTATCCTAATCTTACATTTAATTACTATCTGAGTCAAGTTTGTGCTGATCGAGCCCTTCTTTTAAAAGTTATGATTTTTTGAAAAATAATGCCAAAAAATCAATTTCCTAAGAATTCGGGCTCAGTTCAGGGTGATCACCTGGCGGCGCCTCTCTAATGCATTAAAGGCAGTGTCTGGGCAAAAAGTCGATCTTAAGATTTTATGCTTACCCGGTCCTATTCACTATGTTGAATCCGAAAATCCACATTAGAAAGCGCGAAAACGGCGGAAGAGAACTCTAATGCAGGAGGGAAATCAGAAGTGGGCGGGGTCTTCCCCACTGCGGGCTTCACGCTCCAAGCTCCCGGAGCGATCTTCTCGGTCCCGATTTCAAGTCATGCATGTGCACCTGGCCTGTGGAGATCTCAGGGCGCTAGCGGAATTGAGAAAGTCGCTTCAGAAGCCGGGACCGCGAAATTCACAGTGGGGAAGACCCCGCCCACTTTCGATTTCCCTCCTGCGTTAGAGCCCTTTTTCGCCGTTTCCGCGCTTTCCAATGTGGATTTTCGAAGTCAGCCTGGCGGATAGGCCCGGGTAAGCACAAAATCTCAAAATCGACTTTTTGCTCGGACACTGCCTTTAAAGGCAGTGTCCGGGCAAAAACTCGATTTTGAGATTTTGTGCTTACCCGGGCCTATTTGCTATGCTGAATCCGAAAATCCACTTGGAGAGCGCAAAAAAAGCTGAAAAGAGCTCTAATATTGCAAGAAAATCAGCAAGTGGGCGGGGTCTTCCCCACGGTGAAGTCACGCTCCCAGCTTCGGGGGCGATCTTTTTGATTCCGGTTTCAGGTCATTCGTTTGCACTTGATCGGTAGTGATGTCAGGGCAGCTAACGGATTCGAGAAAATATCTCTGGAAGCTGGAAGCGTGAACTCACAGTGGGGAAGACCCCGCCCACTTGCTGATTTCCCTCCAGTGTTAAAGGCAGTGTCCGGGCAAAAACTCGATTTTGAGATTTTGTGCTTACTTGGGCCTATTCGCTACGCTGAATCCGAAAATGCACATTGTAGAGCGCGAAAATGGCAAAAAACGGCTCTAACACAGGAGGGAATTGAGCAGGTGGGCGGGGTCCTCCCCACTGCGAATTCACATTCCCGGCTTCCGGAGCGACCCTCTCGCTTCCGGTTTTAAGTGAATTATTCGCACTTGCCGGTAGCGATGTTAGGACGGCTAGCGGAATCGAGAAAATCGCTCCGGGAGCTGGGAGCGTGAAATCGCACTGGGGAAAGCCCCGCCCACCTGCTGATTTCCCTCCTGTGTTAGAGCCCTTTTTCGCCGTTTTCGCGCTTTCCAATGTGGATTTTCGGATTCAGCATGGCGAGTAGGCCCACATAAGCACAAAATCTCAAAATCGAGTTTTTGCCCGGACACTGCCTTTAAAGCCGTTTTTCGTCGTTTTCGCGCTCTCCAATGTGGATTTTCGGATTCAGCATAGCGAATTGGCCCGGATAAGCACAAAATCTCAAAATCCAGTTTTTGCCCGGACACTGCCTTTAAGGTGGCGGGGGGTGATCACCCTCAACTGAGACCGATCACCCCCCCCCCTCGCAGGGCTCAAAAAACATAGGACCCCCGCATGCTATATATCAATCGAGAGCTCTTGATGAGTATAATCTACCTATACCCTTCCCACTCAAATTTGTTCACATATACACAAGTTATTTGCGAAAAATCGATTTTTGGAGGCGTGATTTCTGCTCTATTTGCGACTTCATAACTCTAAGACGAATACTTTTTAGGTCTACTTTTTTTCTATGTGATAGAGGAAAGGTTCCTTATTAACGCCTATACTCTCGCAAGATGAAATTCTGCAACTTACTCAAGTTATATTGACTCAAAAACTGACTTTTCTCAAATTTGGCCAACATTGTGACTGCAACTGTACTGCCCTAAAAATTTCTCCTGACACCATTTGTACTAATTTTATCATTGTTCTGGACTCTATATCTTTATCTACTTTAAGCAAACACAAATGAACACCATTCTTTTATTGTACTACATAAATATCGACATAAAATTTTATTTGCAAAAAAATAAAACATGATCAATGCAAGGTCTTTTATTAACATCATCCATCATCATCCATCTCTAGGTAAATCTGTCGTCCATCAGCGCCTTTCAGGCCTCCAAAGTAACTGCCATTGTCCGCTGCCCAGTTATTGTCGGTCGAGATCATTTTTATAAGATCTGCGTTCGATCCTTCTGAAAATGCATTTGTTCATTGATATTTTTGTAATTGTGCAGTAATTCCTCACCTTCAAAAAAAAATTTTCGTCCGTCAGGTGAAGGGGGGGGGGGGGTGGTCCGGCCTCCAAAGTGAAGGGGGGGTGAGCATTTGCTCACCCCATCGCACCTATGTTCACATTGCTAAATGTACATTCATTCGCGCACTGAGGCTCTCATATAGGGCATTCGAAAAATCGTGACGATGGCGCGACCGCGCGCAACACGCACGCACTCCCAATTCTTGGTTTCTCTCTCTACTCAAATGTTTTTCTGCTTACATATGATTATATTCAGGCACTGGGAGTGACTGAGCTTAGCGTTGAGGTGTTGCCTGTTTATGTGGGTATCTTATCCTTCTATGTGCGAAAAGACCGCAGTCAACTCGTCGTAACGATTTCGAAAATGAACCATACAGTGGCCTGCCTTTCCAAAGCAATGTTCGCTGCAAAGCAGCTCCAGTACGAAAACCGTATAATTCTTTGAATGGATGAGAATATGCACCTCTGAGAATGTTCTTTGACCTTCTTCTAGTTCTAAGAGATTCAAAATAACATGCCAAACCGCGACTTTCCAAGTTTGGTAGAGCAACCGTGGCGCAAGCTCAATGTGCTAGGTACTACCACGCAGTGAGAAACGCACGCGACCGCCCGCGCAGCCGGTGGAGTAGATTTAGATGATGCCCGGGCATTATTGGAGGGGATGGTGCCGCCCAGAACAGAAAAAGCCGCTAACGCTTTATGAAGATTGTACACCGAAAGGAACACACAATTTATTAGCTATTTACAGAAAGGAGAGCTACGCGAAGGCGAGCACTACTTTATCTAATGCGCAAGGTGAGTCTAGAGAAAAAGCACGAGATGTATCGTGCATCCCCCAAAATTGTTCCCATATAAACCATCAACGTTGCTGCCTTTCGATCGTTCTAACACGTTAACTCCAGCAAATTTAAGGCGCTTTTTCGAAGTTGATATGTTAAAATGATCGAAAGACAGCCACGTTGATGGTTCATATGGGAATAATTCTGGGGGATGCACCATAGATGTGCATGTCTATTTCCGAGATTGAGCTTCTGAACGATATCACGACATCTTCCTCAACTCCCAGTGACAATTCGTGGTTGATAAGCGTTCTTCTGCACGCAGTCGTACTCTTGTCATTCAAACTGTCGTGCGCACCATGCCTCCAGCAGTTTCCATTCGAAACGTTACCAGACGAAATTTATTAGCTTTCACGGCATTTGCCAATACGGCATTTCTCACACCTGATAGCCACTGAACCGCTATATCCTGTGTGCCCCAGAAAAGTTCCCATGTGAACCAGCGTGGGGTGCAACGCTGCCTTTGCTCTTTTTGACACGTTTCTCCTGAGAAAAAACGGAATTACTAGAGGTTAACACGTTCAAAAGAGCGAAAGGCAGCAAGATGACGTAGTACATACCTATGGGAATCTTGCTGGGGAACAAACGATATGTACCGTCTATTCCCCACAGTATAGCGGGCGGAGCGTTGCTGACGTTTGCCAACGTATGCGCGTGGCAGATTTTGATAGCTAGAGATTACAAAAACCAATGTTCTAAAGTGGAGGTTCAACAATGTATTCAACGTGTTCAAATGTCTGCAAGACCACGCCCGCTATACACATGGGAAGCGCTTATAGCAAAGGTAAGTGCCAGAGTAAGCGGATATTTTGTTCATGGGGTCCCGAGCAGATGACGTCATTTGGATTGACGCCAGCATGGTGAGTGACGTCCGTTCTGCGCGGGACCCCAACCTGAACAAAATATTCGCTTACTCTGGCACCTACCAAAAGGACATACCTCGCAACTGCGTAACAAAGTTGTTCACTTTCATCATACCCGTAATCTGGAATCTCGTTGCATATTGCGTGTCGTTTCTTTCGTCGCTTTTTCTTCTGCTCCAATTTCGATCAAGTTCATTCAGAATGGATGGATTGCTCTAGCGCTTATGAGCTACATGTACTGGGTATTTTAGTAGTATTTATCTGTTCCGTAGTCTTTGGGAGCTTGTTGGTTTAGGTCTTCGCATCAGTGCCGTATTTATAGTTATTACTAATTCTCTGAAAATATGTTGTAGCAGTGCTATGCAATTATCTCTTTTAGAGCATTAATGTCTCAACTATGGCTAATTATACTTATCCTCCCGGCCGTGGACGCGAATCTGCTAAGTGCCGGGATTCTGTCGGAAACTGTTCCTCTTCGACCAAAAAATGTACGGTTTGAGAAGTTGTTCTCGTGTATTTTGAACAGGCTGAATAGTGGACCATCAGGTGCGAAATCTTGAAGTTTTCCCTGTTTTCAGTACCAAATGATTGGCTTTGCTCAGTCCGCGTTGAATCAAACTCAGGTAGAAATTCGATTATCTTGCGTTGAAGAAAATGTCGATATGGTCTTCCAAGTGAGCACCCTTAATGTTCTTCTATCTAGTTTTGTTTGTTCATTCGCTTTTTGAGTTTATCACCAAGATTGTCAATTGATGGGTACACCTATGCCTGCTCTATCGCTCATATCTGATTACAGGTGGAGTATGCCCTCCGCTCTTCACCTTGTGACAAGGAGTTTTTTGATGCGAAGAGGGCGGATAATCTTCGGAAGCTACTGGTATGGTATTTGTTCGCTATGGCTCAGCTTGCGGTCAGCACATATTACAGACATTTTACTTCTCTGATCCAGACCACATTCCCGACACTTACAGTTACGATAAAATTGTATACTATAAGTCAAAGCCGCAAAACTTTTCTTGCAGAGTAAGTTTACTTTTTTTATTTACATTGCTCTTTTTTCCCTTCAGCTCATCCAATTTTTTATCTATGATATCTGTGATTGCATTCAGTCACAACCGGACATTGCTTCCTAGTGAAGCTGTATTTACTGCAGCTGTCTAGATGCTTGTATCAGTATGTTGATCCTTTACTTTCTACAGGATTCGCATGGCTCCATAATTTTTTCGGAAGCCGATCCTCATGCAATGATGGTCAAGAATGTCACAACCTTGGTAAGTGACAACAAATTATGAGCTTTTCACGAATCAGCTTTCCAGCTCCAATTTCAAGATAGACGTGACAAGAGAAGTAATCCCATTGTTTCCACATCGCTCTCGTAAGTGCTTGCACTAAAGGGTGCCACATGTGATTTCATGCTTCAGGTCGTGGAATCCAGCACAAACTATACCTGCAGATGGCATCTATTTCTTGGTAATGAAGGTAAGCATGGGTCACTTGCATACTGTATCCTTGCCTTGACAAGTACTTCAATAGATAATCGGGGTTTCGTATCCTTCATCTTCACCATCTGAGGAGCATAATGTTACGATCACTGTAAAGTGGAAGCAACCGCATGGATATCTCAGCGCTATTGACTATCCTTTACTCAGGTAGATATTTTTTCTTAAATTTTCCAGCATCTTTTGACCGTTTTGGTTTTTGATTTTATATAATGATGTGCGTCTTCTATGGTACGCTTGCCTTGATATGGATGATTTTATGCATAAAATACTACAAAGACATTTTGAGGATTCAGTACTGGATAGGTTGGTTTTCATTCATCTAATAATCTACCTGTCACATTGCAACATGTCACAGGAGCTGTTATCATTCTTGGAATGATTGAGAAAGCATTCTTCCTGGCCGAATATTCAACAATGAATACTAGTGGGAGAAGCGTTGAAGGAGTTTTGGAGGTTTTTCTAGCATATTGCAATATTCATAGTTGTCGAAGTTTGAAATTCAAGCTTGCGGAGTTGGTATCATGTGCAAAGAGGACTATGTCACGAGTCTTGGTCATAATAGTGTCTGTAGGATATGGAGTGGTGAAGCCTCGACTGGGAAATACGCTTAGTCAGGTACTTTGGATGCGTTTGGCGTTTGACTTCTGTTGTACCCTTTGATTCAAAGGGGTTGGCGGCTGGAAGGCGGGGCTTTGAGACCTAATCAAGGCTAGAAAATGGTCAGAGAGGACGCCCGCAAGAGAGACGCAGACTGCGTCGCGGACTGCAAGCAATCACCTTCCAGCCGCCAACCCCGTTGAATGGAAGGGTGTATAGATTGCTCACAGTGCTTTTATTTTTTGATGGTACAACATAATACGTCTGATGGTAGAGCTGATGACTCTACAGTGAGTCTCATTGTCTGTCGCCGGCTCTCACGGTTTGCCATTGTTATCGGTTGAGTTTGGCGCGTTCGCAGACGCAATCTCTGTGCATCAGTCACTCTCACTAGCCTCTTACGCTGCACAGACGTGGAGTTGCCTACAGATGCATCTGCGAACGCGGCGTATTTCCCGAGTGAGGCACGGGATGCGAGCCGCACGAGCCGGTGACACTATCATAGAGACAGAGGATGTGCACCGCGAGAGAGATGTAAAGTTGATTTGTGAACATAATATGTATCGTTGTGAATGGTCATGTCAATTTTTGCCATTATTGACTATTTTAAGGCCCTGATTTCAAATCTGAGATGCAAATCGCTTAAAAGCGAGTGCTTGGCGCCAATCTCGCGGAATGCGATGACGCAGTTAACTTGCGGTTACCACGTAAAGAATTATCGCGCAACTTGTAGCCGGGTAGCGCGAGTGTGAAATGAGCAGAAAATTGTCAAAGGTTACGTATTCATATATTGGATGAGATCTCAGAAGTGGCCTTTTTCGAGCGGGTTTGGCGGTGCTTTGGTTAGGGAGGGCCTAAAGGGCCGTGTAGATATTTTCGAGTAATGCGTTGCCCAGATGCGTCCCCTGAAGAGGTTTCGTCCGGGTGGTCTATTCGAGAGCGGAAGCTACCTGCGTTCAAATTTAGAATTGAGGCTCTAAAGGAAATCTCTGTTTTGTACAAGATCATCAACATCGAATATACTTCTATCTTCTAACGCAGGTACATCCAATCAATACGACCTTTCAGTTAGAGTTAGGTAACTAAACGAGAATTAAAAATGAATTCTGTTGGATCTTCTTCAGTAGGTTGGTGCAAAAGTAGTGAGTAGCTCTCCTGCAGTCGCAGTAGGAATTTGAAGATTGTGCGGGTCTAACATGAAGCTAAGCATGCTCAAACATCTGTACCAAAGTTCCGCGTAAATCAGAATCACATGAATTCTAAATCCAAAATTCAAAAAAAGGTCTCTTAATATTGGATCACAGCTCAGAAAGAGTCAACATGTGTAATACGCATACAAACATTCACTGTTTGTTTTTGTACTTTTTCAAGCTTCAAATTGAGAAGAGTGACCGATGTTTGGCGAACACATTGCCCGCTGGTTTAACAGATAGTCATCATTTTCAAGGTAGTATTGTTTCTGACTTCTAATTCCCGTTTCCGTCTATAAGCAAAAATCTGTAATAAAAACACCTATGATTACCACTGGCTGTGTTCCTTCCTTGTAGTTAATGTGTGTCAGTGAGCTTCGCTCCAAGCCTTAAAAAATGTATAATTTATAGTTCTGAGGTATATCAAACAACTTTCTTAGAGCAAAGGATTGCGTATTAAAAATTTCGGTGCAAGATTATTGCCAAGCTATCACATCAGTTACGATTAGCGTTAGATTTGGTGGATACTATCCATTATAAAGTATCTTGTGAAGTATCGCTAGGAATCGAGTTCTTGCCCAGATACTGCCTTTAGGCACCGTCCATCCACTCGACACTTCCATGTTTTCCTCCCTTCCATGTCCCCGATTCCGAATGTAAAGTCGGGAACCGCGAAAACCTGGGCAATCCCCGATCCGCAGAACCCGCAGGGCGGCTCCGGAACGACTGGTTAGGTACACACGGATGGGCGGGACGAACATCACGCCCACTCAAAGGGGAGGAGTCAACGTGGCGAATCCGTCATACGACGGCTCCCGCCAGAGTGCCGAAGATATGCCAGCGCTACGCCAGCATTTCGATCGATACACGTGTATTTCGTTGGGGACGTCAGCTAGCCCCGCCTCAACGAAATACACGTGCATCGATCGAAATGCTGGCGTAGCTCTGGCATAACTTCGGCACTCTGGCGGGAGCCGAAGCGTTTTGCGAAGCAGTTTTCTCGTTTCGGCCACAACTTTTGACAGCTCGAGTTGGGCAAGTATACGGTTGGGGGCACCACTACTGTTAGGCATCAAACTCATCGACCCAATTTCGGCGACGTGCCTTCAAGAACTCTTGCTGTTGCAGTGTGCCACTATAGGGCAACTATACTGGGAGCTCACAACACGTCGCTACGAACGTTTATTGCAAGACTGCCAAAGCTTACACCCCGCTGACCCCTGTCGACCCGTACCCGCCCGATTTACTGCAGGTTGATTGATGGTACGGGTTCGGCCACCTAAACAGCAAATGGCCGAACACTCCGGCCGGGCCAGGGGCGATAATCATAATAACAAACGAATAAATAAAATGCTGTCACTAGAGAGGTCTCTTCTTCTTGTGTTTGGATATCGTTGATTGCGTCTGTGATGTTGAAATTGGTGGACTTGCGGCATTTCGCGATAGGGAGTCGGCGTTGGAGGGGCAGTTGGCATCGACGGTGGGCAGAATAGTTGTTGATAGAATACAAATAGGTGAATAGGATTAGGAATGGTGGTGATCCGGCATCTTCATCGGGGTAAGTGGGTATGCCCTTCAGGTGGTAGGTGCCATTCCATGTCCTTTTGGTGTTCTTGTCGAGGTCCCTCGCTGGTCGTTGACGAGGGGACGTGCGCGTGAAGACAGGAACCACTTCGTTGCAGGAGATGAGTCGAGAATTTGGCGAAGTAAGTAATGGAACAAGGTGAAGACAACACTGTCTTTCTTTCCGATCGCTATGATCGACAAATTTATTAGATATCATTTTAAACAGTTGCGGTTTCTGCGTATTTTTGCTAACCTTTTCAGAATATTTTTCTGATAGGATGTACTCCACGTTGCTGGCAGCAATAGGTTGCGCAGCTGTTTCTTTGTTGGAGGCGCCTATGAGTAGATTCTCGTTAAGTTTTCCATCTGCACAGGCCTTGTGCGTACGATTTTTTATGCAGTAAATATTGCAATTTCCATTATAATCGTTTGTGAGCGCAAGTTTGCTTGCCTCGTCTTTTGCTCCACGATTCGTGGGTATTTCGCGCTCGATTTGTTGCCGATCGCTACGATCGGCGAGTTTGTTAGATATCATTTGAACCAGTTGCAGTTTCTGGGTGTTTTCGCTAGCCGTTTCAGAATATTTTTCTGATAGGAGGTGGTACTGTTCGCTGCTGGCAGCATTCGGTTGCGCCGCCATTTTCTCATTTTCGGCGACTTGTTTGACTTTTCGTCATGTTTAACATCTGCCCAGGTCCCCTGTGCATGATTTTTTGAACAATAAGTACTGCATTGTTCAATATCATCATTCTTGAGTGCAATTTTGCTTGCCTCGTCATTTTCTTTTGCACCGGAATCCACAGGATTCTCAGGCTGCTCGGTTGTTGGGCAAATGCCGGTAAAAACAGTTTTGCATTGTTTTGCATGTAAAAGCGATGAATTCGCGCATTTCTTTGCGAATGTTCGAGCATACATCATCTGGTGTTCCACCATACCAATGAGTACATCTGCTTTGGAAAGTATATCGTAAAATTCGCTCTCTTCTATGAAAACTTCTACCTCACGCGCTATGAACTGTTCCTGTCCATAGTAGTGTGCCATGTAGAAATCTATTAATTCATCTACTTGTGATTGTAGAAATTTTGCAAGGACTTTTACTGGCGGAAGGCATGCATTGAGCACATCCAATCTGTCGAAACATTCTTGTGATAGTTCCCGACTGCGATTTAGATCAGGAACGAATTCACTTAAAGAGCCATACTGGCTGAGAAAACTCTTAAGTAATTCTGACAGGGATAAAATTTCCTCTTTATAGAGGTGAAGAGACATTTTTTTAATATCGTTGAGGCTTCGTTGTCAGCAACGGAAATATTTGGCTTTTTACTAAGCCTTGTTCGCTATATGCGCGAATGTGGGAGAAATGTTCCTAGGTTTAACCTAATGTGCTGCCATCAAAGCAATGCACTTGTGCTCAAAATCCACGTAGGATAGAACGTTGTTTGCTGCTGCTTTCGCAGAGCAAGTGGTGGCTCAGTAATTTGGCCGATGCACCAGAATTGTGCCACTATAGGGCAACTATACTGGGAGCTCACAACACGTCGCTACGAACGTTTATTGCAAGACTGCCAAAGCTTACACCCCGCTGACCCCTGTCGACCCGTACCCGCCCGCTTTACTGCAGGTTGATTGATGGTACGGGTTCGGCCACCTAAACAGCAAATGGCCGAACATACAGGCTCCCTTCTAACAAAGGAGGGTCGCAAAATCGAAGTGGCCGATTAATACAAGATGCATATATCTTCACAAAGAGGTAGCGCTAATTTGTTAAATCAGTTTCCATATTTGCAGAACGTTCTGGGAAGGAAGTTTCAAAATTCTCATTTGCGGGAAACTTGCAAGGCTGAAACAGTGGTCAGAATTATCAGCATTTTGGACTCAAATCTACTTGGATTCGGTTAACCATGGTTAAAGTGATGCTGCACTTTTTGAATTTTATCCTGTAGCGCAAGAAGCAATTTGAACGATTTCCATTACTTGCAGTCATTCAGAACCATGCAAATGATGACGATGATAAAAACGCCTATAGCCTCCTAAAAAGAAGCGTTCTGCGGATGTGAAGGGCAGATTTGAAACAGCGCTCCAAGTTCTTTGTAATGGTTTGCATCATGTAGTAATGGCCGCTTCGACTTCGGGACCCTCTCTTGTGAATGTAAAGGATGTGCAAGACAGATGGGTTCACAGTAATTCATTAAATGTAAGGGTTATACAACTGGCAAGAATGTGCATATTCGTTGACTCTTGAATTTTGATAATTTACGAATAATCTCTCTAATGAACAAACGTGTTGGAGCTAGTTCTTTCACGGTTTGGGAGGAAGCGGCTTTGGTTGAATATTCAGCCTGATCGCTCAGCTTTTTATTGCAATTTATAAGAATGGAGATTTGTCAGCGGCAACATCTGCTAGGTTAAGACGAAGCTCAAGCATTTTTTTCTATATTCTAAACTTCCCCGAGAGCATCAGAAATTAATTTCTCACTAATAGTGATTGTGAGGACGTTAATTAAAGATGATTGTCGGATCATAGTTGGATCTGATGGCTCAGAAACTGCTAAGTCGCGCTACTGGTTTTTCAAAGAATAGAACAGTGATTGATTGATTAACACATTGACGACAATACGACCCACCGGTGGGTCGTACGTGTACTGCCATTTTCGGACAATACGACCCACCGGTGGGTCGTAAGTTTTCGAAAGCTCTAACTTTGCCAGCATGCGATGGAATTACGGTATTCTGGCGCATGATTGGGGACACCTTGGCGAAGCTCTAGCCGGAGTGGTCCGGGTTCGGGATACTGTAATGTAATGTTACGGTAGGTATACGTAGATAGAAATAAGGCACAGATCTTAGCTCGAATTTCTCGCAGAGTGGTGCTATTTTTGACATTTCAAGTTTACATGCACAAGAAATACAGGGAGAGCATGAGACTGATGTCAGCCCATCAAAAATTATAGATTTTATTGATTTTTCGCATTGTTCATCCCAGGAAGCTCAAACTTGCATATATAGGTTTTTTAGCATGCTGATTACGAAAATAATAGTCTCAAGTTCTAATACAGCCTTCTTACATCAGTTTCTTGATTCTTAAAAAATCCTACCGTACTGCTACCGTAGTCCCACTGTGGGAAAGTAGTGAACAAAGTGGACACTATAATCGTGATCAGCATATGAAATAACCCCAAAACACAATTTTTCACGAAAATCCGTGTTGTTGGATTCGTACAGAGTAACTACCGTAATCTTACCGTATACTACCAAAAACTGAAACACATCATATTTTGATAATCAGCGCCTTCGATAACCCTTGTGGGGATATTCTCAGAGACATGTTTTGAATTTTTTACAAAAAGACTACCATTTCGGACAATACGACCCACGGGTGGGTCGTAAGTTTGGCAGAGCAAAAAAGGCTCCTGTCCGAAATGGCAGTAATCGAAAAATCGGCCTTGTCGTCAATGTGTTAAAAGTTAGAACACTGGATTAGATCGAGTTTACTAAGTTAAGAGGACTCACATTAAACACTTGCAGAGATATGCGCTTTCAGTGTTAGCCGCTAAGAGAAAGAAAACTTCAAATGCTGATTTGATTCTTATTGTCCTGTTTTTCTCAATGCAGCATTGTAGGGTGTGACACGAGACTTGAAGGAAGAAGTTGTTATCGTCTTCAGCAAATCAAACTTGGTGATCCTTTCTCTAGACATCAAATCCTTGTTCTGTTCGCAGTCTATGCATCGCAGATGCGAAAGACTAGAATGAAAAGTTCTTTCATAGATAGCAGGCAGGGGAGCCGTTTATATTGCCGGCGTGTATGAACGTTGTCTGTTTCGATTCGAAAGAAACTGATGTGATCACAACGCAAAGTTGGTTTCTCGTAGTTCTGTATACAGCCTATGGCCATAAGACTCAATTTTCTGAAGGCCTATGTAGCAAATATGTCCTACTCTCAATATGAGCAAAACTTCTAGTCGCTGCAAAGAATCAGAATCCTTACAGATTATCATGATAGCGTGATGTGTACTTCATCCTAAATGCCTTCATGGTTGTCTAGATGTGGAATACCATGTGTGTGACTAATGAAATAAAATATAATAAAGAAAATTTGGAAAATAGTTAGGCATTGAAATTTCTAAGGTTCTTTTGCATGTGTCGACTCTTTTGCATGTGTTTAGTATTTTATTTATCAAATGCTCAAACATTTTGTTGTAGTTTAATGTGCTGTACATCTACAGCTCTTTATTGCCATAATCCAGGCGAAATGGCTCCAATGTTTGTTTATTTATAGGTTGCTGGTGTTGGATTAGTCTACTTCGTTTTCTGCGCCATAGAAGGACTAGCTCGAGTGTCTAAGGTGAATTTATCGTTTTTTTAGTCTTCAGTTCCAATACTGAAATCGTTTGAACAGTTTTTACTTAGAAATATGTGGGTAGTTTCATGGTCGTAACACGACTAGCTTGTCTTTTTGCGCTTTCACCTTTTTGCAGTTGGAGGAACTTTACTCTTTTTATAGAATCACGTCGAAGCAGCCAAACAGAAGCAGTTCGCTGCACTTCCTTTGGTCATAACAGAAATGGTCATTTTCTATTGGATTTTTACATCACTAGGTGCAACTATGCGCACGCTAAAGTTGAGGAGGAACGAGGTTTGTTGCCTTATCTGCTTTCTCGAGAGCATGCTCCTTTTTGATTTTCGTTGTGAAAGAAGTTTATCGAAAACTCCTTTCAAGGTGAAGCTAACGGTGTATCGGCATTTCATGAATACCCTCATGTTTGCTGCCATCGCTTCGGTAGTTTTCATGATCTGGAGCCTTCTCTTCCACATTTTTCCCACATGTTTGAAGGACTGGAAAGAACTGTAAGCGTATGCAGTTTATTACAGCTTAAAGACAGTTTAGTCGAAGTGTACACAAACACCTTTACAGATGGGTGGACACTGCCTTCTGGCATGTTCTGTTCTGCTTCATCCTTGTAGTTATCGTCATTTTATGGCGACCTTCGATCAATAATCAGCGTTATGCCTTCACTCCGCTTCTGGATGATAGTGAAGATGAAAATGACCAAGGTTTGTTTATTTCTGATCCTCAGCGATTTCCATGCACAGTTTCAACCTGTTCAGACGAGATTTTCAATGCTTCCGCGCCTGGTTTCGAGATGTTGAAGCAGCGCGAATCCGGCAGCGGAGCAGATATACGGCGTCAGAAAGAAAAGGATCGTGAAGATCATAAATTACAGGTAAGGAAAGAGCTTGGATATGCATGTTGTGTTCATACAGACACCACAGACTGCTGTTTTCTTATGCACGCGCCATGATCCTCTTGATCCGCTTGATCTGCTTGGCCCATTTTGTGCAAAATGCGCGCTCACCAATTTACCATATGGCGCCTCTCAAGTAAAAAAAAGAAAGAAGAATTTTGTAAGGTCGCGCAAATTCACTGTACGCGACGCCAAAGGACAACTCAGGCCCGTATGCACGTACACCCGTGGGGGAGGGGAGGGGATCTGAGGGACATGCGTTATATCTCGCTACTCTACGTATCTTTCTTCTTCTTTCTCTATTTTGCTTATAAAGTTTTTCATACACTTATACCTGCACATAATGGATACCAGATCACTTCCATACAAGATTGATTTTTTGCCATTTCGTGTGATCCCCAGAAGATCCCCTGGGGATCACCTCTCTTTTCAAAGTGATTTATATTTGTGAGAAGTCGATGAAAAAGCTGTAAGTTTGTACTGAGGATATATTACGGCACTGCTAAGCATATACTCGACAGAAGAAATGAAATTTGAAGATTGTGGATTTCTCGGTGATCCCTGACTCGCGAGCTAGGGAATATCGAAGATTTCGATATTCTGATTCACTTAATTCTACTATAGTCATCTTCAGCAGCGCCGTAGTTTATCCACAGTATAATTTTACAGCGTTTTATTGAGTTTTCAGGGAGATAAATGGCATTGAAATTGAGAGGTGATCCCTGGGGATCTCCAGGGGTTCACACAAAATAGTAAATATCTAATCAATCTTGCCGGTAACCTGGCATCTATTATGCGCAGATATAAGGTTATGAGAACCTTCATAAGCAAGATAGAAAAGGAAAAAGAAGGATACCTAGAGTAGCGAGATATGACGCATCCCCTCTCAGATCCCTTTCCTCCCCAGCGGGGATGTACGTGCATACCGGCCTTAGTGAGTACGCGTTTTGCACGAAGCTGATTAAGCGGATGATCAAGTATAGCGGTGCCTTAGGTATCAGTGAGCATGTGCGGCCTGATAGAGTCAAAGTATAGTAGTCCCCCTTCCTCAGCTTTTGGGTGTTTCACTTACCAAAACAGCTAACGGCGCAATAAGCTGAGTTCTGTCCACAGAAAAGTACACATCGATGGGTTTCACTTCCTATTTCAAAAAATCGATGCACAAGCCAGTGATAATCGCTTGCTCATCACAGACTCATATTGAGTGTATAAGCTCGTGTGTGTAGGCTCTGCTTTCACAAAATCAATCTGTGTTGAGCAGCCGTTAATTGTGGGTTCTGTAAGCATGGCTCTCACTTCGTCCATCTCTCATTGTGGCACTCGGCCATAGCGCGTTAATCGCATTGAACTGTGGTAGAAAGTACAGGACTAGAGTTTCTAAAGCTTATTTGTGTTAGAACTGCTCCACGCTTGCCTGGAATATGGTACAGTTTTTTTTAGCCTTGCATTATTCCCATACGGGGTCTGCCACTCTTATTAGTCTCCTCCATTTCACGGTCTAATGCTTGACGTTCATCTATTCCAAGCTCTCTCAGATCTGACTTGACTTTGTCTGTCCATCGCAACTTAGGTCTTCCTCTTGGTCGTCTGCCGGGAACCTCTACTGACATCGCTAGTCTGGTGATGTGTTCTTCCTCTCGCCTTCTGACATGGCCATACCATCTAAGCCTCCTTTCTTGCACTTTCTTGGTTATTGGGGCCACTTTCATCCTTGCGCGAATGGTATCATTAGTGACGTGGTCGAGCAGCGTGACACCCATCGTCCATCGGAACATGCGGGTTTCCATCACTCCAAGCCTTCGTTCATCCTTGCGTGTGCACGGCCAACACTCGCTTCCATACAGCGCAGTTGGGCGGATGACAGTGCGGTACATCTGAGATTTCAGCTTGAGCGGCATCCTTTTATCGCATAGCACTCCTGTGAGACTTCTCCATTTCAGCCATGCTGCGTTTATACGACTGGTTATTTCGTCTTCGAGCGTGCCGTCTGCCGCGATGCGACTTCCTAGGTATTTGAAGGACTTGGTCTTCTTGATCTGCGTGCATGCAATCTGGATCGTCTCTGGCGTTTGAAGTCCCAACTTCATGTATTCTGTCTTGTCGGTGTTGATCTTCAGACCGTGTAGTTCAAGCTGTTCTTTCCATATTGCTACGTCTGTCTCCAATTCCTTCCTGCTTCTTGCCATCAGGAGCACATCATCTGCGTACATGACGGTCCAAGGAGGTGGATTTACGAAGCTTCTGACTATCGTGTCCATCACTGTGATGAAGAGTAGAGGGGAGAGAACGGATCCTTGATGTACACCGACATCTATGTGGTAGTCTTCTGTACGTCCTGCTGCTGTTCTTACGTAGCTGGTGGCATCCTTGTATATCATTCTGATCCACCGAACATATTCTTCTGGTACCTCGTGCTTCCGCAGTGCCCACCATATAACATAGTGCGGTACTCTGTCGAATGCCTTCTCAAGATCCAGGAATGCCGCGTGGAGCTCACATTGCTTTTCTCTGCTTCTCTCCATCATCATTCTGACGGTGTGAATGGCATCTGTCGTACTGCATCCTTTCACGAATCCGCACTGGTTGGAGCTCAGTATCACGATACTTCGAAGTCGCATCTCTAGTATTCTTTCGAAGATCTTCAGCGTGTGGCACATGAGACGGATAGGTCGGTAGGTGGAGCAGTCAGCCACGTCGCCTTTATTCTGAATATGGTACAGTTCAAAGTTACTAATGTTTTTAGGACGACTTGCGATGGATCGAGGACCATATTCCATCTTCGCTTGCTGAGCATCTTATCATGGACGAAGACGAGGACAAAGAAGCGCGGGAACTTGAGATCAGTAAGATGTTGTAGTTGTTCCTGTCCATATAACAGCTCCAACTCGTTTTCATTGTGATCACTAACACTGGTGTAGCTATATACTGTCCAACTCTGTATCGTGACTCCTTTTCTTCCACGTCATAAGTTGCAATTGGTCACGTGCTTTGTCTCAAATTGTCATTTTATTGTACAGTTGTTATATGGGAATCGTTTGAAGGGACAAGCTCTCATAGCATATACTTTCGCAATTTTTGTACCGATGAGCTATGATGATTCCAATCTTGTTCTCTTTTATCTTTTAGAAATTTTGAAATGCAAATCTTAGTGCAACAACTTCTCTGGACGCGCGGGGTGACTCTCATTGCTTCATAAAATCATGTTACTTGCGAGAAAGCTTTCACATTGGCTTATTTTTTTTAGTTGTCATTAAATACCCTCTACATAGCTTAGAGGTTAACAGACTAGCTTTCAGTTCTTATTTTGTTGGATAACATGCCTATTAACATTATTTGTATCAGAGTGAACCAATTGATAAAGATCTAATCGACCTTGTTGTTCACTGCATATACGCGAATGGCTCATATACAGGGTGTCCCAAAAAAATGTGAACACTGTTTGATCGTTAATAACTCCGCTGCTTTAATCTCTTTCGCCAAGCTTGAAGCACCATTCTGTAGAACGAGGTTCAACTTAGATTTGTGGCATGGAGCAAATCACCGATCCTCTTCATTACTGTAGGATTACTGTATGAACTTCCGGCATGGGATCCATTGTGAAATATGCCATTTGACAAAAAAATTTTCAAAAAATCTGAAAAATCGTGTACTAAGGGTTTCGCGCACGCTGATTCCATAACGCACCTTTTTACGAGTGTTTTTAGCTTTTTTGACGGTGTAATCACATTTTTGACAAATGCTGGAAACTCGGTTATTAAGCTTTACTTAGGATAACCTTAAAAAGAAACGTCACAGTGAAGTGGAAATCTCATACTCGAACTCAGCGCCTTCCATTACCCATGTGTAAAAGTTTTTGGCCTGTTTGGTTTTGTTTCGAGGCAGAATATGGCTTTCAACGGCCGAAAATCCTTGTCAAAGTTCTCACCGTAATCCTACAGTAATGAAAAGCGATCGACGATTCCCTCCATACTGTAGATCTAAGTTAGGCCTCGCTCTATAGAATGGTGCCTAATGCTCGGCGGAAGACATAAAAGCAAGGGATTTATTAACGATCAAACAGTGTTCACATTTTTTTGGGACACTCTGTATGTTTTGCTTTACAGCGCAGTTGGTCTCCAAATCTGGTTACACCTATATTCCTTCACTCCGAAGCAAGGTGTCTGTAAGATTTTCTGATGTCGCATCACAATAACTTCGTTACAACAAACAGAAATAGTGATTGTAGTATGTTATGGAACTAACTGTGAGGAGACACTTTTGCATTGCTGTAGACGATCGTATCGGATTGATACAGAAATGATGATGTTCGCAAAAGATTCGTTGTATGAAGCATTGTGTGTTGCTCTCCTGTACCCTCCTAATATCGTTCGTAACATATATTTTGTTACCCATGAAGGAGGAAATCTTCATAACATTTCTGTGAAATTTTTCTCCTTTCTCAAATTGCATTGAGGACTATAGCTTTCCACCCACCATACATGTCACACACGTAAGAACCAGGCTTCAAACTAATTGAAAGTGTAACGTATTTAATTTCTACCATTTTTTTGCAGCTTAGCGGCCCCGATAAATATGGCAACACGCAAAACTTACCACTTTCAAATTTGAGTGGAAGTGACTCCAAGATCCTGAATTGTTTTCGTTTTAGCACTGATGCTCGCGGATTCACAAAGATTTTCGATAGATGAAAAATAAGAAAGAGAGAACTTTTGAAGAATGAAGAAAACGAATTAAGGCTGAAATGTTCGCAAGCGTGCCTTTACAACTTAGTTCATGTCTATGATTTAATAAAAGTCCTGTTTCTTCTTCTTGTATGCCAAATATGAAATACCACCAGTTCTTGAATTTCCACAGGAAGATGAAGAAAGGGAACATTTTTGTATGGTTATGTCCTAATACCCTCATCATTTTATGAATCTGCATCTTTTAAATGTTGATCGCGTGTTTCTCAAATAATCGTTCAGAATATACAGGGTGTCCCAAAAATGTACCGAACGTTTGATCGTTAATATCTCTCTTCCCAAAAAGTCTTTTGCCTTGCTTTAGGTACCTTTTGTAGAGCTGGCTTCAACTTAGATTTGCATTATAGAACAATTCACCCATCTCTCTTCATTACTGTAGGATTACGGTAGAAACTTGAAACATATGGTGTCAATGTGGAAAAAGCTGCTGTTTCAAAATTTTTCAAAAAATTGTGAAAACTTGCGTAATAGGGTTTTTATGGGCGCTGAGTTCAATACTCAACTATTCACAAGATTACGAAGCTTTCTAAACGGTGTAACCGCACTTTTCAGGAACATTGAAAAAATGGCCGCTACCTCTTACCTGGCATAACTCTTCAATGAAGCATCATAATAAGTTGGGAACTTTACAGTTAGAATCAGCAACTCTAATTAGCCTAGTGTAAAAGCGTTCAGGCTGTTTTGTTTCCTTTCTGAGGCAAAACATGGCCTTTCATTGCTTAAAACCCTCTTTGAAGTTTCTACCGTAATCCTACAGTAATGAAGAGAAATGAGTGATTCGTTCTATAATGCAAATCTAAGTTGAAGCCAGCTCTACGGATTGGTACCTGAAGCAAGAGATTTCTTTAGAAGAGAGATATTAACGATCAAACGTTCGATACATTTTTTTGGGACATCCTGTATTACGCTTTCAACGCGCGCCACATGCCGCAGAGCAAAAATCTAGCTAATAGAATTTGATGCAGTTTTCCTCGTTCTTTGCAATGGGTATATTTTAATAACAGTTTGGCGAAATCTCAAAAAATTGCCAATACGAGCCGTGCTTTTTGCCTTGGACATACGATATTTTTCTGACCCTTCATACTTAGGCTCCTAAGAAGTCCAGTAAGGGCTGCATAGAGTAAATCCTAAAATATAGAAAGCAACTTTTCTTCCATTCATTAACTCACTACAATTTTTGTTGACAGTATGGTTAGAAACCACGCAGTTTTGACGGGAACATCTCAGACACAAACGAATCAAACACTAATACATCCTCGAAATTCAGAACTTCCAAGAATGCATTACGATTTTACGCTTATTTCAGAAAGCAAGTGAGCATTTGCGGCTTGAGATATCACTCTCGAATCTTCCTGGTAAATTCTGGGGCGAGTGCAAAAATAAATCATATAATTTCCCCGAAACCTTACGCGGGAACAAAAATTACCTCGAAATAGCAGAGAAAGCTGCATTGCATGTACCCAAGTTGCTCGCCGGCTGATGTTTTCTGATTTAAGTTGGCCAGATATAGAATGTGACTCAGAAGGAGGTAGGGGGGCCTTATAGAAAACTGTCGCGACGCGGCGTTACAGTAACCTGCGCGAGGGGCAGCAGCCTAGCAGTGGAGCAGGTAACTCATCCGTATTTCAGTCATGCTTAATGACCAATGTATTTTCTTGTACGTTCACTAGTCATCACTATGTTCTAGAAGCAAGAGCTTATCTCGGCGATGTGAATCGCAAATTCACTGAGGATATGCTTAAGGCCAAGTTATCACTTATTATAGTGAGTGAGAATTACAATTCTCGTAATTAGATGCGAAGTGTTGACGCCTTGTTGCCCTGTTGAGGAAAATAATGAGTTGGGCTCAACTGATTTCCTTTTAAGGGTAAGTATCAAAATTTGAAAAGCCTGAAAGTTTGGGTACGATGTGATGTAAAATCGCTCTTATCACTTTTTCATATGAAAAATTCGAAGTCGACTTCTCTGTAGCTAGGCTTCTAAGCTAATGAATATTTACGGCTGCTGCATAGTACATCTCAGGGTTGTTTCCGCTTTGAATGTCGAAAAAAAGGTCCCATAAAAACGCCTCCACGGTTTCGAATCTGAACTCTGACTTAAATACTCCAAAAACTCGAGTACGTTTATTTTTTTTGTGAATTTTTGTAAAAGTCAATTCTGCACGAAGTTAGACATTTGAACATGAAAGCAAAACGCTCCTGGGTTTTCGTTGAAATGATAACAAGCCCCATAACTGGAGTTTGCGGATCAGACAATGCCTACTAAAATTAGTCAGAAAAGACAAAGCCGAACGCTTTGTCTGTAAGTTTTGATTCTAAAGCGCCACCCTATTTGAATCATCTCTTGTGATAGCGTGGGCTTTTTTAGGAGCTTTGAAACTGATGGCAATATAAATTCAAAAACGTGTTAGTTCACTTTCCATTTCACATTCACGTTGATTCGTTTCATTTATATATCGCCTTCAATGCCAATACATCGGGTCACCAATATTACTAATCGTTATGTCAGTAGAGGGTACTGACAATGTAACTACTGTACTGTCTTACTGATATGTGGAGTAGTTTTTGTTTCCCTTCTCCAAAGAGATTTATGCCAGTTGCAATTAAAGGTTCGTTCTAGTGCCGGATCTGCACTGGAAATAAATCATCGGCGGCTCTAGTGTGGTTCTGCGGTCGCGAGGGTGCAAAATTCTGAGGCTAATTTGTTGTCATAAACTGTCAGGATGTGACTCACGCCTTTATCAGAATGTGAAAAAATGTGTATACTATCTGTGGATATTCAGATAACACTTGAAATACTATGACGAAATAACAACTAATTTGATCCATAAGTCTGCACCAGAATCTTTGAAAATTTATAGTGTACTTTACAAATTCATTCGGTTTAACACACGTTGAAGAAAAATCATGTACTTTCTAGAGGTGTTTGCAGTAAAATTAGAACAATTGGCATAGCGTTGAGCGAAAAGCTGGTAAAGAAAAACTTGAATCGTACGTACATATCATTCATTCTCCTCTAAGAGATACGAGCACGCTTTGCGTACGTCTGATTGACAAGTTTATGACTGCGTTTTTGGTTAATCAGTACTAGAAGCTCGTGAAAGAACATGTTCGAGCTCGTTAAATAACGCGAGTCTGAATATGTTTTTTCATGGATTCCTAATAACAATTTACAGAAACGCGTTAAATCACCCTCAAACTAGTTAACTAGACGTACGCAAAGCGTGCTCCTGTCACTTACAAGGGAAGGATACTTGCTGACCGTGGCCTATTGCAGTGGTATGTGTACCAGTAGATACGTCTTGAAACGCTGATTCCAGACCTATGTTCGTTACCTGCTGCGCGGCTCTCTGAACGAAGTTATGGACTTTTTTCCATATTGATTTCAAGGGATCTAGGCGGTCAGAATCGTCAGTATCCAGACTTTTTAGACTTCTATCGGAGGCAGTTCTTGTGAGCTTAACATTAAGCTTTCTTTTATTTGGACTCTCTTTTGTAGTGCGTAATATAGTTGGAACCGAATATATGTACTCGTATAATTTATTCGAAATATTCGACTATTCGAATATTTGAATAGTTGAATATTTGGAAATTCCGATTATTCGAATATTCGAATAGTCGAATATATGGAAAAAGTCTTTATTCGAATAATTCGTTCATTAGACGATTTAGAAAAATAACTTATTCGAATACTCGCTTATTCGAGGAATTTTAAAAGACAGTTAATCAATATTCGAATCCGAGAAATTTTGAAAACCGTTGTTCGAATATTCGACTATTGCGTTTGATTATTCGAATATTGCACGCGAATATTCGAAGATTGCATTCGAATATTCGATGATATCCAATTATTTGATCATTCGAATAGTCGAATATTCGATCAAGTTCAGTTATTCGAATATTGGTTCATTCGAATTTTGGAATGTTCCCATACTCGAATATTCGAATTCGAATAATATAAAAATCAGAAATCGAATAATATTCGTTCAATTTTTTGAAAATCAAACATTCGATATTAATTCGCTCAAAATTTTTCAAAAATCATTTATTCGATATTCGTTCATTCGACGGAAATTTCCGTTCGTTACAACTATAGTGCATAAGTGAACATCCTAACGATATGAGTGAACCTTTCCATCAAAACAGCTCAAATTTTGGTGGCAAAAAATGTTCATAACTTCTTTTAGATTAGCGCTGGGAGTCGGCGCTCTAAGATGCATTTGGTGGAGTAGGTTTCATTCCAGAAGGCCAGGTCACCAAGTACCCTTTCTTTGTCAGAAAATGAATGATATAAGAACTTTAGTCGTTGAAAATTGAAACTTCGATTGAAGCTTTGTTCTTGATTTTTTTTTGGTGACCTCATTTCTGTAATCGAGAAATTATGCTAATCGGATGCCTCCACAAACAGTTATGGATTACAAACAGTTATGGTTTTCGAGTTTTATTACTCTAGGAGTTTTTGCTTGTATTGAAATAAGCAATAATAGACAATGCATAAAAAATCATGTTAGAAAGACCATCTATTTTTCAACTTTTCCATTCATTTTCGGCGCAAGATTAATAGATCAACGAATAAGTCATGAGACATCGAGACAAAAGTGGTCCGGTAGCCAAAACGTTCGCACTCGAAATGCGCTGAGATGAACTGCTGTTTCAAACCTTTTCACGTCCACATTCGCTTTCCTCGTAACAAGTGGTAGGAAATTGCTCTTCGCAGCCTTTGGGCATAACACTTCCACTACACCCTAGCTCCAGAAACGCGGTCGTTTTCGAACACGGGGAAAGCTCTAGTGCACAACCGTCTCGGGCCGTGCGAGTATCCTAAAGGAGATCAGGAGCATGACGAGGAAGGCTGTCTGGCTGTGACGGGGTCTTTCCCGGTGGGCGGGCGCTGTCCGGCGGCGGGGCGCGCCGCGTTGCATGTGAAGCACGCGCGCGCGCTCACTCAGCTGATTGCTGCCATGGAGGAGGAAAACTGCTCGCTAGTCTACAGGCTCGAACAGAAATATCTCAACGATGACGACGCTTACATGGATCAGGACATCATTCTCACGAACTTTGTAAGTTAATTGGAGCGGTTTGGTTAGAATTTTCGCTTGATTTGCTTTTTTTGTATGATTATCGGTGAGAATGTGTTATGCTCATCACTCGTGACGCGGTCTCTTTTTGAGTTGCATGGTCGTAGAATATCCTTGGCAAGGACTCATTTTCAAGTACAACTCATCTTAGCTTCCATGTGCTTTATCAAATGCTGACATCTAAGCTATCTCGCTTTTTTGATTGGATCTTCAGCGGCACGCATCCGATTTTCTCCTATAATTCAGTGTTGTGGCGACGAAGTCCATCCTCTCCGTATAACAAGATTCGCATCTTTTATTGAAAAAAGCTACGACGTGCTCACATAGCGCTAGCACATGGATCGCATTAGCAGGAGTGCTATTTATTGCCAGTGCTACTACCCTACATCTTCAGACTGGTAGCTCACCGTGTAAAATGGCCAGTAAACGTGCACTTGAATTAGTGGTGCTGAACAATGCGAACATCTCACATCTGGGGGACGTAGCACAAGTTTCTGGACTAATGCAGCATGTTGCAGAGGTAATCTCCCATTATTCTGCATGGGTAAATATAGACATGTCTATGGGAGAAAACTAGAGCAGGAAGTGATTTTGGAGAATTCAGGCTGATCTCGCCTGGAATAAAATCCGTTGGGATTGTGTCACAGCAGTACTCAAGCACCTACCGCAACTGCGAACATTGAATCTCAGTTTTAACCCGCTTGATGCTGAGGTGTTGTCGTTCCAGTTGTGATTTGAAAAGTGATCCATATTTTTCCAGCTTACAATAGAATTACCTGCTGCTCCCTTATTGCACACTCTGATTTTGAATGGGACGAATTTGTCAATGAATTCATTGTCAGCTGTCCTCAAGAATACGCCATGTTTGCAAGAATTGCACCTGTCTGACAACAAGCTCGATTTGTGCACGGATGACGAGACTGTCTTGAACGAATCGGTGAAAACGATCCACATGAATAGGTGCGTGGAATTTTTCTTGCCATGTGATTGTTCTCTCGTCAAAGTCTTCGTCAGTCACACATGCTGTTGTGATGTTGCAGGTGTCGCCTAGACGATTGGGGGTCAATTGTTCGTTTGATGCGAAGGTTTCCCAATCGAAAAACAGTGTTTCTATGCGAAAATCCAATAAAGTCCGTTGTCCACGACACTTCTGCAGAAGACTTGAGCACTTTGCAGGCTTTGAACTTGGGCAAGGTCGGTAATTTCCTTCTTTTTTTATAGAGTTGTGCCTTTTACCAAAATTTGGCCAAGCTATATCGAAATTTGTATGCTATCAGTAGAAAGTTCGTCACGTGCCTCGGTCAGATCGTTTCAAATACCGTAAGCAAACACTGCTATGACTCTTCCAGACGGAAATCGCTGACTGGGAAAGTATCGACAGCCTGGACCGGCTGCCATCGCTTATAGACCTGCGAATCCTCTCAATACCTCTTTTGGAACCGCTTAACGAAGAGGAACGGATACATCTGGTTATTGGACGAATTCAGAACATACGAGTGCTGAACGGCTCTATAATAACTCCCGAACAACGGGAGCAGTCGGAGCGATACTTCATTCGTTATTACCAGGTCTGCCTTTGTCTCGTTCGACCTCCATGTGGTTCGTTTAGCCGTCTTTTGTCATGCCGCCGTGTTCTCTAGACATTTGCAGGAGAGGGACGACAAGCCACACCATTATAAGCGTTTGATAGATAAGCATGGTCATGTGGAGAAGCTGGCAAAGGTCGACCTCACACCAAAGTCCTCTGCCCACGTGCAGGTCTTTTGCGAGGAAACAAACTACCAGGCGAAACTTCGAATCAATCTCAACAAGAATGTCGGCCAGTTGATGAAGTAAGTTGGCCGCTTAATGACTTCGACAAATTGTCAACCTCGACCCACTTGCTCCTCATTTTATCGGTGATGTTGGCTCATAACGGCCATCGGCCATTGTTTGTGTTAGCATTCCCTCTTTGTGCACGAATTCAGAACCTGATCCGCTTGCAATGGCGCGCTGGGGACCATTGAAGCGCAGCCGCTGTGCTTGTGTGCTGGTAGTTTGGAAGCTTTTATAGTGATTAGAACCATTGGTATTCTGTACCTACTTCCAACATTTTTTATCTAATGTTTTTCTAGCGAGAACAAGCATTCGAAAAAGGGTTAGCATTGTGAATATTTGCTTAGGATTCACTACACCCGGCATGACCCGGCGAAAATGTGTGTGGTTTTGTCGTCAATCCTTTTTGCTTTTACAAGCATTAGCAGATCTGTCGGTCATTGTACCATATGGAGAACGAAACCTGTGAGGACCTTGCAATCGAAAAATTGTCAGTATCTGCATCTTCATTGTCGTGATATATAGATTCTTAACTTTCAGGAATGCGATATGTTTCTTAGCACATGCCTTGATAAATGGAGGCTGGGTTCTTACTGATCCGTAAGTTTCGGAACAGTTTGAACCCAGCCCCAAAGGTTTGTCCATACTTCTATATAATGAAAAAAAAAACTCGGGGGAACATCGTATCGGTAACGCAAGAGGCTTTTGCTCATTCCTATATGATCAGCTTGTCGTAGATATTTCTGATATAGCCTAGTACAAAGGGAATGTAAACTTTAAAATAGCAGTTGGTTTGTGTTTTGCTTCAAGTCAAAAAACTTCCTTCAAAAAATCGATTACACACATTTTATCTCATCTTATATATAAAGCGGAATGTGTGTTTGTCTGTATGTCTGTCGGTGTTACGTATGTTCCGAATACAAATTTTCATTTCTGAACCGGTCCGGACCAAGCTTTGCACACATAAGCTTCGGGGCAGGGCGAGTGTACCGTTTGCCGCTTTTTGTTATCGATCGATTTCAGTTTTATTGACTTTTTTGTGAAGTATGAGCTACGCGGCTGGAAGTGGGCATAGGGGGTTAAGTGGGCATGCTGATTACGAAAAATTATTGACAGTGCCGAGCGGAGCCGGCTTTGTCAGCTAGTATATAATAACCTTCTAATTGTTTCTTGTTGAGTTATGCATGATTTCTCGAACACATACCTTATAAAAGTTATTCTTCAGGTCTCTTGAGAAGGAATGTGGCATACCGTATAATCGACTGCGCATGTTCTTGACCACAAAAGATGGTTGGGTGGAAGAGTTTCGGTACCCCGGCATGTCTCTGCACAGCTATCGTATAGAAGATGGCGATGTTCTCAACTTGCAGGTGCGGCCGTTGTCCGATTTCGCTTTCTGTGCAAATAGTTGAGCGCAGTGTTCGTTGCCATTTGTGTGGGCCAGTACTTGAGAAATTGGCGGGAAGCGATATCGTGTGTTTTGCGCATATCACTGCTGTTGTTCGATCCTCCGCGCGCCGTGTAAGGTCACCTTTTGCGGATTGAGGAGCTGCTTGCGCGCTCGATGGGCTATCGCGCCTCCCATAATGCAGTCCATTAACCATGCCATGAACAGCCGGCTTGTTGCATTCACGCGTGCGACCCACCTGCCCTTCCGCCCAGCGGAAACTGGTTCGTTCTCGACATTCGAACAAGGAGCACACTCCTATGCTTTTTGGCCGTGGGAACCTGTTCAACGATATCTTTATCTGATGTCAATTTGTCGGCTCGTTTGCGGATTAATCAACTTTGAAAGGTAATAGAACAGGTTCCACTGCATTGCATCTAGGTTGCCTTTGTTATATGAGACGGAAAACAACAATTATGTATTCGCGGATCTAAGCACTCGATGTTGTCTCAGCTAACAATTTTCTTTGACTGAGGAAGAGACGTGCACACTAGATATGTTTGCTTTTCCTATTGGATCGATTTGGCGCAATTTTCCGCTATAGAACAGAATTTTTCTGTATCAAAGAAGTATGGATATATTTATCCTTTCTCCAATCTCTCTTTTAAAGCTGTCATCCATGTATTTGATTAAATACTAGAAAGCGCAGTAGATGATGCTAGCGCTTAGATTCAACTTTTCCACCTGCAGTTCAGGTCGAGACACTAAAATGTTACGAGTGTCATCAAGACAATGATATGACTGTTATCAATCACTTCATTGCAAAAGTCGCTTACCGCTTATCCTGTTAACATTTGATAAACACTATACTGCCTGTAAACTTTTCCGTTTTTTCTGAATTCACTAGAGAGATTACGGTAAGACTTCTCCTTAGATCGCCTTCTCAGCCATCAAAGTTGATGGCACCGTAGAGGCACCACTGTACTGAATGTTTAATCTACCATACAGTCCTCAAATAGCGTCGGCTTATGTAGTTGTACTACTTCAGTGTTTGAAATGGAGCACTCTAGTTGCTTATGTGCCATCGGTAACTCTTGTTGTGAGCTTCCACAGTTTCTTTTCGGATTCACTTGTACGCGATTCCATACTTTTGATATCCTATGCTGCACAAGATGTGCCAGTTTTGCGTCCTTTTCTTTTTCGTGAATCTTTGTTGACCTACGGTGAAGGCGACACCCGTAAAAAATGATATTTAACTGTGAAGGTCATGCATTTAGTATTGCATGAGTTCGTCCGACGAAAAGGCGAACTTTGAACAATTGCATAGGTACTTACTAGCGACCCCTCCCGCACTGCGATGTGTCGCGAAAACTTTGTAGGACAAAGTTGGAGAAGTGGCTGATTTTACTGGAGGATGATAAAACTCCCAGTAATTCATAGTAGCAGTATTGGCAGGCATTTTTTTAAATGTAAATTAGGGGGTTTAGAGCCCGCGAATCCGACAGGCCTTTCAAAAGTTTTCGGCTGTGGCTAACGCCCTACCCTACCATGCGCCAAGATTCATGCTGCTGGTCTTATTATGTGAACCCTAATTTAATAGAAAAGCACGTGCAGAGGAACGAATAGTTCCATTAGACGCCACCTCCACTGACTTCTGGTCCTAACTGGTATGCACTAGCGTGCGAAAGAGCAGTGTTCCGCGGGGGCGGTCCTGTTTGAGCTATTCAGTCCTCTACCCAAGGAAAACATGCGTTCCTACCACCACCACCGAAGTGGATCTACAAGTGAAAAATTCCTGCATTTCTGCCAGGGCTGAAAGAGATTAAACTGGGAACAAGTGTGACAGTCAAACCGCTCAATGGTAGTAAAATTGTCAATGCGTATTAGGAATATTGTACTCAAGAATCTGGAGGCAACTTTGAGAAATGACAAAAATATATGTCAAACATGCCATGCACTTCTGCAACCGGCCTGCTGTGGTTTGAAATTGAAATGTCGTGCAATTACACAAACCGGCTGCCGAAATGAGGTGACCGTAACTTGGCGTTGGCGCAGACGAGGAGATAACCGTGAAATCAAATTGCTTTCAGTCGAAAATCGTCCCTACTCGACGTCGACCGTTGCAGAAAAGTAGCACGTGAGAGTGGAAAACGTACATCACGATTTATCAAACGTCTCTCTACCTGTGGGTCTAGATCGCTACTGCCATTCTCTCAACAGAATAACTGTGATTTGATCTGGTCTCATCACACGAAGTAGATTTGCAACTGCTTTCCACGCGGTTTTCAGGGAGTCCCACGTAATCTTTGCGGTGTCATTGTCTAGTATCAGTCTGCTGTAAGATTCTTTCTTGGTCTGTATTCAGCGTATGTTATTACGCGTTCTGTACAGCTTTCTTAGACCTTTACAACTTCTTTGATATAGGGAACTAGTTCTGTATGTGATAGTAATTCTAGTGTCTTTCGAAGTAGTAGAGCATGTTTCTTCTGAGTAGTTCTTGCTGCTTGTTATGATATTACGTCGAGCTATAACTGTACATAAGAAAGATTTCTCTAAGAAATATTAGGTGCACATAGATGAGCTTCGAGTCAATTGACATTCGAAACGCGAATGAGTGTTCCATGAGCAGACATTGCCCGGTAATTGTTTTTCTACGTTATTTGTTTCTTTTATGTGAGGCACGTGTACATAAAGACCAAGTCGTATCACAAAAATTTACTTACGTCGTCATATTTTTTACGAGAGAAGAAGACTACACATTTTAGGTTGAATTGCTGTGCTAAATTATGGTTACACCGGTAACCCAGACCATCGCCCACGCATTCACAGAAGCAGGTCGATCTGCAGATGGCTGTAGTGGGTGCAGTGACTCCTAGGGCGCTGTTGGGATTTAGACACAAATTCACCCTGTGATTGTGGTCTGAGGGAGAGGAGCCTTGTTCAGTGTTTATTCGAGTAGTGTTAGCGCGAGGCTGAGAAACCGACCTTATGGTCAACGTGTAAGCAAAGCGATATGAGCCCCCCCCCCCCCCCCCCGGCCCCTTCGCCGATAGCTTGTGACAGGCATGATCGCCCCTTCGAGATGACGTCATATGGCATGTTATCTCTTAAATTTGGTGATTGCGAAGGTGGCTCGATGTGTTGTGGATTACAGATGTATGGTTGCAGAATGTAGATATGTTGCTGTTGTTAACATTCAAATAGGAAGGTTAGGATTCAGCAATGCTTCATTGTCATACTCACAACCCACCGCAACGCAAATCAGTTTTGCTGCATAGATGGCAATTAATTCACATCTTTAAGAATACCAGATCGCAGTGGCAACGACTAATTATCGTTTCAAGTTGTTGAAGCATCAATGACAAGCGACAAATGTTTAAAGAGAGATGAATAGATAAGCATTATGTAGATGCATGGAGATGAACATACACGATAATGCATGACTTCATCGAATGATGAAAAGTGCAGAAAAAAGGGAACTCCTCAGACGTAGGTGAGGATAGATTGTATTGATACAGTACTTTATATCTTTCATGTCATTGTTGCTGGATATTCCATGCTTGAGCTAGCAAGTGGTTCTTCCTAGGTCAAGCAATCATTCGGAAAGCAAATAAAATTAGAATGTGGTGATGAAGGAGACAGCTACACGGATTACGGCAAATGTTTATGTAGGGTTGACATGATTATGAAGCAAGCATGTTCTGAACTATAATTGTGTCTAATATCCAACTAGCTGAGATGTTTAGGGCACACTGTTTGCTAGCGCGAGATAGTCTTTGAAGAGGGACACACGTAGCGCAATATAAAATTGCTGGAATCGAAGCCTGAGTTATTTTTTACTTCTTTCCTGCTTTGTTTATTCTTTTTGTCGGTGTTGCAGAGCCATTGGCTCGCTTCACAGGTGTCTTGTCAATCTTTTCGTTAGCTTTTTGTGCTTTTGCCTCCTTGGCTATTATATCCTGCAATAATTGGAGTGTTCTCTTCTACTGTTTGAAAAAAAGCGTTTGTTGAACCTTTATGACTCGGGCAGGCAGTGAACCCACCTTGGAGTTCGCCCTCTCTCTGTCCCAAAACTGTCGTAGCTGTCGGCGTACCACTTTCCCACAGATTGTGCGTGGAATCTCGGAAATGAAGAACACGCCCCCTCTGAGCTCTTTAAACGTCGCAATTTTTCCTGTAAGTTGACTTGCGGACCAAGATGAAGAGAATGCGGAACACGTTGCTCACCAGATACGTACTGTCTCACTTCTGCTGACGAAAGTAGCGGATGCGTCGAGCTTTTCACCACGAATGCGGCCGGCACCTGCTGATTAAATGAGCTCTCAGACGAATTCTACACTACCAGCGTGGTCAGAGCGACCTAGGGTAACCGACCCTACAACACATACTTCACCGGACACATGATCCTGTCGCCCAACCACCGCACAGTCCTCGATTCCTGGATGTGCTCTCAGCATCAGCTCGACCTCTGACGGGCAGATCTCAACAGAAAGATGAATGGAATCGCTCAAACACAGTAAAAATGCGGTCTTTACCAAGGTTCCTTTGTATCTTATGATGTCCTTGATTCGATCTAAAACGTATACTTGCCCAGTTTCATCGTAGAACGCCGCATCTCCTTGAAAACATCTTCTACTGAGGAATATATCTTCTTGTCTATCACCTGTTTTGACATAACCACTTGGATCGAATAATTCTCCTGTAGCTTTGGGATTTTTGTAATAGGCTGGCATAACTTGTGGACCTAGAACCATGAGATGTCCTGGAGTTCTGGGTGGGCAGAGTTGTTTTGTTTCCCAGTTTACAACCTGAAGCATAGTTGCGAGAAATTGAGAACAAAAAGAGCGGAGGAGCATAGCGATAATGCGGATAATTTATTGAGAGCGTTATTTTTGTGAAGCTGCGTATCTCATATTGTTTTCGTCTCTTTTTTCTTTGCTTTGTTCTTGACTTTCTCATATCCTACAAATCCTCGCCATCAAAATCTTCGATTCCAGCAAATCTTTTGGAAGCATGTTGAGGTAATTATATGCTTAACCTGGGTAGTAGTAAGTCGTTACATACAAAAATGAGTAACGACCTTGAAAAGCATTCCTGGAAGAGGCGCTCCGACTGTTTCGATCTTGTCACATTCATAATGCGCAAGCGTGCATAATCCTCCGAGCTCTGTCATTCCGAATGCTGAAAGCAGCACATGATTTATAGAAGAAATTGATACAAATATCGCACAAAGCCGAATAGTTTGAGCAGGGGATGCGGGGCAAGGAATGATCAAGAATTTGTGGAAGGAGAAGGAGACGATATATGTAGACAAGTTCGCCGAGGAAATAACCTTTCGATATCCCTCTTGCCCTGACGTAAAAGCCCACCTTTACAACTTAAGGGAACCTGGAAATCTTCATGTTTGCTTACTCGTAGATTTAGAGTTCTTTCAGATCACTGATTTGAGATTCGTAGGTGCTTTCAAAAGTTTTTGTGCCATCGAGGATTGAATCTTGCCCCGAATCTCCAAAATTGCTAACTTTGCTACTAACAAAAAGTAGTAAAGTAAGAGTTGAGTTATTATACCGTATTCCATCTAGAACTCTGCCTCTGCAACTCGTAAAAAACTACATCACATTTTTCAATTGCTTTTCAGCTGAAGCTTTACAGAATTATTTGCTCAAAACAGCGCCTCTAGAAACCCCCTCACAAAATCTCAGAGATTTGGAAATTTAGTGAAAAAATCGCAGGACTCTATTACGTTGCATGTTGTTAGCATCATCTAGAAGTATTGAACAGAGATGACTTTTTCGGCTGAAAATTTCGGCCCTCTCTACAGGCAGGAAGGTCGCGAACAACCCAAGAGAGATATAAGGATTAAACGATGGAAATACTTTCTAGGATCTTCTGTTTGACGAACACAGACGCATAAAAATTGCTAACTCGTTGATTATCTAATGAGCTGGGATTTGGGGAAGGGTAACTTTGAAGTTCCTACTCTGTCTTAGGTCTCTGAGGTTCAACCTCCGCTTAGCGCTGTTAGCCATGTTCGAGTCTATCGGTGCACCAGCAACCAGCACAGAGCGAAGAGAGTTTGAAGCGAGGTTCTCAGTAGTTGTATCCATGGCAAGCCACATAATCATAGCTGGTGTGATGTGGGAGACGTTTATCTGAAGTGGAAAGTACGTCTCCTTGGTCAGCGTTAGCCAGCAATTCTTTCCAGAAGCTTACGCTCAGTTTGAGGATGTTTTCCACTAGGGAACGCGGGGAAACCTTGGAAATCATGTAGACACAGGCTCCGTTCACCAGTGCGTAATACGCAGAAATCACGCCGAAGATGTGCGAAATTGACAGTGGAAGCAGAAAGCGCTCACGAGGCTGCACTGGTCCGTAGAGGGGCAGGCTCATTTGCTGGATATTGATGATCAGTGATTTGTGTGTAAACTCTGCTGCCTAAACATGTATGTAAAAAGTCTTGGATCTCCATAGCACGTCAGTGCTTAGGGTGCTATGCTAGCGTCGTTCCAGCCCCGTGCCAGCGCTTGCGAGTGCCGTGCTGGAACCCACGTGTACGCTCCCCGTATTGTTCGATCGATGACTCGGCACGACGCTGGAACGGCGCTGGCTGGCACCGGCAACTCTGGACACAGCCTAAAGAGACTAAGGTCTCGTTTAAAACATCTGGCCTTTGCTCGATTCCGGCCTTAATCTCTCAAGTCATCCATGACAATTACAAATATCCTAGCGCACGTAAAACTAGGCACAATTATTGTGAATACTTCATGGTGAGGATAATAGGAAGGCACTACATAGCAAAAATAAATAATGCGACTCTTTTTTGTTGATTTGTATCAGGAATTTATAGATCGTGAGCTCGAAGATCATTAGTTCGTTTTCGCCAGTGTATCTCTATTTCAAGAAGTGGTCTATTGGAAAGGTGATTTCATGCCACAAAATGCATTTAGTCATACATAGGATATTAGATATGAAAACTTGTCAAAGGGAGGAGTTGTTCAGCATGAAAAAGTATGTACTTAGTTGTACATCACAATGGAGATTTTACGGAATAAAATTGTCGTTTTTATTGCATCAACATATTGTTTCTTGACTACTTGGCTTATGAGAATTCCCATTATTTGCATGATTTTGTTCTAATTCATTCCGTTCAAAAAAAAGGAAATATGAGAGGACCAAATCCGACTGCTGCGAATTTTGGTTAATTTCATAACAAGAAGGATAAGCTAAACTTCGGAAGTCCTGTTGTTCCACTGGTAAAGAACATCAACAACGGATTTTGCCCTGCGACTGGATTTAGAGGAGTAGGCGGTTCCGTTGGACTCTCGCATGTTGGCTCCTCCGTTCCGTTTTCCTGTTTTCGAAAATATAGATGAAACTAATAGACTCTTTAGGAGATCGGACTTTTGCTTCGGATCCATCGGATAGCGGAGAGCAGACATCCGGACGTGCATCTTCAGGTGAAGGAATTCTCGGAATGCTGTAATTGCATAAGTAGGTATAATTGGGGGTCTCGCATCAACCACTGACACCTGCCGACATAAGTAACGTTTTGTAACACCTTCCGAGATAGGTAAACCCACGTAATCTTATTTGTTGACTCCTCTTTGACGAGAGGGTTCCTGGAAAGTCTAGAAAAATAAGTACAATATTTTCTATTCGAATGTTTCTGATTCGATCAAACCTCCTCTTTGCTTCGATCGCATCCGTTGTGAGAACGTCGTCAATCGCTCGTACATGCTTGATTCGCCCTCCTCCTCTCATCTGAGCTTTCCTTCGAACGTCATCAGCCTAGACAGTACCATTGAATCTTTGCTTGATTCTTCGAATTGATTGTCGTTTACCTTTTGCATGAATTGTGATTCTACAATTAAGTGTGTTGCCTCGGCTAAATCTACAACTTGCCAGATCTCATCTGAATTGGTTTAAGTGGCTTTTCTGGGAAGCCTCTAAAAGATCAAGGTAAATGCTCACCCACAGTGCCCCAACCATTCACAGCCACTGCAGTACATCCTATCATAGAGCAAGCAAGGTGAACAAAAATAGCTTGTCCTGAATTCAAGCCATATCATTGAGGCGTCATTCATACCTCAAGCGATTCCTCCAAATTAGAGCGGGTTTGGAAACTTGCTAGATGTTTGCATATTCTCGCGCGCGATTTCAGATGAACAGGAGCACGATTTTTGTAAGCACAAACACGCCAAGCTCACGAAAATTCATGAACGATTGTAGCAATGCTAAATCGTAGAGAACTTAACCGCGCGAGGTATGAGCGATGGTTAAAAGGATATGTATGACGGATATGAGGACATGCAAAGCTCATACCGGTGGTTCCTGTCACCACAGCTACTCTGCTAGCAGGAGATACCTGAAATTGTTTGTAGCATAAATTTGGCCATATATTAAAACAGAGTAAATCTCATCTGAAGTTCCCTGAGACGCATGCTACACATGTCGCACCATCCGCGAATTTCTGAGTATCGCCACTGTTTACCTGTGTCGACATCAACCTATAGAAAATGTCGAATATTTTTGATTGTCAACACTTCCAAAAGGTTAATAAGCTCACAATGGCCAGATTACTGCCGTGCGTCGGAATTTTCGCGAAAAAATATTCCGTAAATGCTTGGTATGGCGTTTTGTCCCATTGAATTTGAAATGCATTTTGAATCTCCATTAGTTATAGCTGGTTGGATATTTTTTGTATATGTGACACAACAATAAGCAGCGACAGAATAGACAGATAGACAGACACACACTTACACGCGTAGAAGACTGAAGGATGTCGGAGCCGGAATGATGGCTCGGACTGAAGATGGTCAGACGAGCGATGCTGTCGCATACCAAATGCATACCGCTATCCACACTCCACGCCCATGAGCCTTTCGATGCCCTATGGAAACTACGAGGGCGCACTTTTTTTCCTCTTAGCGTTCGCTTTTGGTTTTCGTTGTGTTTGGAATGTCTCGCTGTTTTGATGCATTGGTCTTTCACTCTTTCTGATGTAGAAACTTTATCATGCATAGTCGAGTGGATTTAGCGGTAGATATAGGTCCCCGAGGTGTCAACTTCTGCCGACAATATATGCGAGTTAATAATTCGCTAGGAGGCCTTGAACTTGGAAACGTGGGCTTTGCACCTTTTTCCCTCACAAAATTGCGACATCACAAGAGCAGTGATTTATTCACGCGCAAATGTTGCCGACAAATGTTGACAGCTCGGAAACACTGTAACCTCTGTTAAAGTACTGTTCCATATATGCCTCTGACTATCCCGCAGATGCTCAATGTCCAAAACGAGCGAGCTGCTGGAAAGACTTGCGGACCTATGGATTGTAGGAAAATGCAAATGTTTTATGCAGAGATCTAAGTCTACTTCTCATATCGACTGCTTTCAACTTGAACCTTGGGTCGTCGAAGAGTTGAATGTTTGTGCTAGGCTTGCAAGGTAACAACATTTTTGCGAATACAGTTTTCTGACTATATGTCCTGAATTTAGCTCAAAGTTCGCAACCGAAACGCCTTCTGTAGCCGAATCCATCATTTACACCGAAAGCCTCGATAGCCTTCAGCCTGAATTTGCTACAGCAGCGGTTATGCGTTTCAACTCTTCCTACTGACAATTACAACTCTCTCTTGTACAAACATATCTATTATGAAATGAATTTTCCTCTGCGTCTTCGCTTGTAACAGTAAGAAATGTAGAGAAGTTTTTATTAATAGTCTTATACACTTCAAATATCCGTCTCTTTGTACACAAGGCATGGAATTATAAGTGGTGGTCCTCTTTTGTTAGGCACCACAACCCTATGAATAATATTCCCACTGACACGAACATATCCTTTTTTGGCAAGTGCTGGCTTGTCATAGCTTTTGTTTTGCACAATATATCCGTCCTTCTCAGTTATGTCATCTGGCAGTATCTGCAATTTTTCGATTGCTCAGTAGCAATTCATACGCCAAACTTTCCTCGAAGAAATTGAAAGTTGGTTCAAATTTCGTATCTTACCTTGATATTACTTTCCTTTACCAGTTTAGCTACTGTTGGACTCAAAGGTTCGTAGAGGATATTCTTTTGCTGATATTGCAGATCAGCCAAAATGTATTCGACACCAAGTTCACGAGCCTGCTTTGAGTTCAGCACGGCTCCTCGAACTGAAAATAACAGGAAACAATCAGCGGTTCAAATGGAACAGCCTTTAAATTTCTATCTAACACCAACCTTGGACCAACTTTCCTCCTGCAGTTTTCATCACCTCGATTCCAGTGTGTTTGAGAAGATGCTCACCAACTTGGAGACCCCTTAAATGTTACAATCACAATAATTATCAAGAAACATATCTTGCCAGACTCACGAGATTACTGCGCCTTTTGCATCTTCCATTTTACTACCAAGATAATGGATTTTTCGTATATATTCTGTACCCGCTAAGTCAATACACATTGTAGCTCTAAAAACTTCACATTCAGTTGTAGTCAACTAAGAATTAAGTCAAACTCACAAAGATAATCCAAAAATAATGTAGGCCATAGTGAAAAACATATAAACTTGCTCTGTAGGTACAATATCACCGAATCCTAAAGTCGAAAACTGATGCTCGTTTCTTTACCAAATTTCACCTACCCACAGTTGCCATCGTAATGAAACAAAAGTAAAAAGCTTCAAAGTACTGCAGACCTTCCCAGGACTGAAATGAAACTGGACTGACATTGCAACTGTGAAAATAGATAGTTTTCTAACTTATCTTACCTGGAAAAGAAAGCCACCTATAGCAGTATAGGCTAAAAGTACAAAAAGCACCATAAACACCGGTATTCGTAGCTCGTCTTCCATTGAGGATTCTGAATCACTGTCCATTTCGTGCAAATTTAAGGAGCCAGCCTGAGAACGGTGACATGTGAGGTCAAAAGATTAGGATGAGGAAGCCATTACAATCTGCAAGACGTGACAACCGAACTCAAAGAAAATTTTTACGTGCAAAAATACATGTGGAAATTTTGCATCTTTACTTCTTATGCTGGAAAATGCTAGTAGATTGCCTGGCTACACAATCGTTGACTTAACGGACGTTGTTGAGTTTGTGTCAAAATTACCCAGTGAAATCGAAATTGAAGAATGAGTTTGAAATTTTCCTCTACCTCCTAGGCGTTTTCGCAGAGTGAAAGGAGCAAGTTTGCATTCATTCGCTGGCTATTTCCTATGGTAGAAGTCAAAATTTTTGAAATGCACGGAAAAAATCTTCTTTAGTTTGAATTTGCTTGGAAATTAACACTAGAAAAGGCAATAGTTTATGACAACCTTGGATGATCCAGTGTCGCTGTTATGTGATTGTGAAGTTGAGCGATAATGAAGAGAAATACGTCGCGATTGTTTCCGGATCTGCAAAGTTTCCTGAGATCAACCACAGAAAAAAATCAATTTTCAACTCATGCATATATCACTTCGTTTGAGATTTCTTTTTTTGCACCAGTAAAAACTATTGTAATTTTACTTAATGTTGATGCGAGCATGTTATTTCGGTATGCACAGAGAAGAGCTTTCCTTCATTCATTTTCGATATCAACACAGAGCGAGTTTGCCTTTCGACTATTTAGCTATGCATTTGGAACACAACAACTGCATGCGAAGAAGTGGCCGCTAATGGTGTATTTGAGTGTGGCAAAATGGTGAGAAAAGCAAGTTCGTATGGCTCTGTGGCTGAGCGCTTCCTTGAAGACAAACCTGAGAGCTCATTTGCTTGTCAGGTGGTTTTTTGGACATTTAGAAGTTTCGTTTGTAATGGCCAGACGATGCCACTGAGTCTTGATCAAACTATTTTATTTAAGCGCAACCTACGCTTTTGATAGCTCTTGAGATTATGATCATGACGCGAAGCAAGCATATGCATTTTAGACCAAAGAGCTCGAAATTGTTCCTACTCAGACTGGGGAAATTATCGTGCAAGGGAATCAAAGGACGTAGAAGATCTACATAGTCCGAAGTCGATAATTTCGAGTTTTCTCAATCCTATGATAAGAACAGCGGCGGTGGAGGCTATGAAATGCCATCTTTGCGAAACGCAACTTCAAAAGAGTTCCAGGTGAACCATGGCCCAATTTATCTCATACTTATGTCAAGAGATAAACAATAATTAATTGGTATTAAAATGTGGGACCACGCTTAGCGACTGCGCAAGTCAAAACTTGACATACTAGGGACGCAACAGAAGTAACAGTGAAGATGTACCAAGCACAATGCTAAGACCTTCCAAACTCTACTCAAAAGCGCTTAAAGGTACCGTCCACCCTAGATTGAGGGTCCTGAGATTTCGACAGCATATGATATTAGGGCTCGCTATCACGCCAATGCCCAAGTCGTAGCGCAAAATGTCGGTTGAGAAAATCGCTTCAGAATAATGAAAATGCACGAGGACCCACAGACGGCACCGCCCTCCCCATCTATGCCCGCCCATTCGTGCGCGCCCAGCCAATCACCGTTTCGGAAAGCAGGCCAGTTCTCCGGAACGGGGATCGTGGGAGTTTTCGCGGATTCTCGACTTCATATTTGGAATCAAGGACATGAGAAGGCCCCGTAACGATCAAAACATGGAGTTCGAGAATCTGGGTGGACGGTGCCTTCAAAAGCGGAAGCGCCAAGCTGCTTTTCGCGCGCAACTTTTCGCGCTAGTGCGTTAATGTTTCACCCTCGTACTAAAACCAAACTTGAGCGTGCATATATTGATTTGCATTTTCAAAAGTCCGAAACGAGAATCGCGATGAACATATTAGATGTACGCTAGCTATCACACAAAATTCTCATTTTTGCAACAAAGAGTTGCTCAAATCTGCATAGTCAGAGCGGAAATTTCAGTGCGAACGATTATCATGCAGGATACATCAAAATTGATTTGAGTGGACAAGTCATCTCTCCAATGTTGATCGAATTCTTATCTGAAAATTAATTAGATGTGCATAATTGCGCTGCGCATTGACAAAGCAAAAATAGTTATAGCCAATCTTGAGCCGATATTGAGCAGATTCGGAACTTATGATAAATGTGGATAAATATAGCCTTTCCGAGTACTGAGCATATCCTCGAAGGTTAGCTCCAGCATCAAAAGCTAATCGCGAAACGGGGTGTTCTGGCGGGGTAGAGGACATTAGGTCGCCGAAAGGGGGGGGGGGGGGGAGTGCGCGAACATTTGCAACAAATGCGCACATCACTTCATCTTAGCTCGTGTTAGCTGTCCTCGTGGGTAGAGCCATTGACAACCTATTGTTCTCCACCCGTTCTGAAGTTTTTCGGCGCTTTAATGGCGGGTTCTCAACGGCGATGAGTGCGCCGAATTTGAGCGTGACGAGTCCTGTGGGGTTGCGCTGTTTTCCTAGTTTTGCAGTCTCTGGCCTTTTCATAAATTTCACATTGAGAGCTATTTCATCGCAGATCGTGAGTTCATGCGATAAATATCAAGCAAGCTGCGCAAACGGTCAGAGACAACAAGTATAAACGACGTCACACTGAGTCTTAACTCCTCACCACCTCGGTTAAACTGTCTCTTCGTCTTGCGATAAGCTGAAAATGCTCGCCGACATAGTTAAGATCAACTTTGAGAAAATTGGAGGGTAAGTCATATAGTCAAACACTCAGCACTGATAGGAATAAAAAAAAAACATGAGCAAAGTAACAACAGCTTACCTTGCGCTTGAATGCTCTATAGGATTTGTACAGAAAACTGAGGAACTCGGACAAGAATTTTCCTATGTCGGCAATGGTTACCAGCAGTAAGGGAATCCCAAATAATGCGAAAATAATACATGCTACTCTTCCTGACGTGGTCGTGGGAACCAAGTTGCCATAACCTAAAATAGATTCTCTCTCTGCTGAAGCAGGATTTGAAAATGTCTCACCGATAGTCGTAATTACGGTGGTTGCGAAGAAAATACTATTGGGGAAAGTCCAGAGCAGTCCCCCGCCTCTAGTTCGATTCATCAAATGATTCTCATTAATAAATTGATTCCTATACGATACGAAGATATTCCTAACTAGTTGCTCGAAATACTCTTGGTTTATCGAATTGAACGCTTCGCGAGAAATTCTGTTATCAACATCCTGGAATAAGCAGAAAATTACTAGGTTGTCCCAAAAGTAAACTCCTTTTTTGAATAACTCAAGCTGTTTTTGTTTTCTTAGTATATTTAGGGTATCATTCGATAGAGCAGATCAAGCTCTACGGAATGACTGCGAAGGGTCCGCTTAACTCGCCTTCCAGGTAAAGTTTGAAGCCAAAATCGAAAAAAATTTTGTCACTTGAAAATTGGATTCTGCGACAAAGAATCCTACAGACCTCCAACTTGGTCATTATACAGAAGGCATATAGTAGTACACAAATATGCCTTTGCGGAATTTTTTCCGAGCATAAAAAGCGAGAAACAAAAATTGTCCAAAAATGGCAGACTCCGCCCCCAGCCCCTCCCATATATGTCATTGTATGCTACAAGCCTTTCTAAGTATAATTTCAAAACCTTACCCCTGTAGGTGCTCTTATAATCGAGAAATGCCAAGTTTTGCATAAAAAAACCTGAAAAAAGTTGCATTTTGGCAATTTGGGACCCTATTTGTTTCTCAATTTTGAGCCCCGGAAAAAATCCACCAAATACATTTTTGGGTACTACTATGTGTCTGCTATATAAAGACCAAGTTGGAAGTCCGTAGGAATTTTCTGGAAGGAGATCCGATTTTTAGAGTAGCTGGAAAATTTTGATTTTTGGCTCCAAATACCTAGGTTACAAATTAGGTGGAGCTTTGGTAGTCTTTTTGTAAAGCTTGCTGCGCTCTACCGAATGGTGCCCCAAATCTATCATAAAAACCAAAGGCGGTCAAGTTATTTGAAAATGGAGTTTACTTTTGGGACAACCTAATATTTTTCTACTACTAAAGCAAATTGTGCTCAAGGGATAAATCAAGTATTACAATTGTAAATCAAAGCAGATGAGGAGAAAATGGAAATGTAAGTATCTGTAAAATTAAAGTAAGCACCTGTGTTATATTCCATATATGATCCTGGAAGTCGTCCCGCAAACCGAAGATTGTACGAAGCTCGTAATCTCGCTGCTGAAATTCTTAGTATGTTTTGAATTCTGTTTGTTTTTTGCAGACCAGCCTTCTCAGGAAAAGCAAAAATTGTGCCCCTTCCCTTCTCCCATACCGTTCCATCTTCTTTGTCTACTTTTGTCTAGTCTTCAGCTTTCACGGGTACAAGATACATTAAGCAAGTTCCTTCTTGCGCACAAGGTACACTTAGATTAGATGAGTCCAAAAAAATCATCAGCAAAATTTCAAGATACAACGCCTCATTGTTGGAATACATTTCAGGAACTTTGTGAATGTGCAGATATAAATGGTAGTGACATAAGATATGTTATTGAAGCAAATCTCTTCTTTAATAGCGTTCAAAAAATCGCATCCACAATATTTGAATTGAAATTTTACTTTCAAAATGAACGCTAAATTACTGAGATAACGTAGCAGAACTTAACAAACTCAAAAGCATAAGGTTGCAAAAGGATTCTGATGAAAATGCTCATTGCGGCAAAAACAAAAAAATCTTACCACAAGCTCATTGGGACCTTCAATAGCATGGAAAATAGTAGCACCTATAAGGAGATACGCAAATAATAAGCAGACCAGTCCGACATGGGGCAGTATTCGTTTCGCATACTGAAAGAAGGTCATCGAAGAATTCGATATCAAAATACAAGAAAAGAAGGACCTGTTGTAGTGCCTCAAATGTTAACATGCAAATTCAGTAACGCTGCCGAGAAATACTATAAACAAGGAGTCAGTTGACTTCAAACACTTTTCAGTGTTTTTTTTTTTTTTCAACGAAAGGCCCTATTACACAAGTGCAACTGCTTTTCTAGTCTGAGAGAGGTTAACTGGTGATGGAAACAACAACATTGCTTGAATTATTCGCTGTATCTGAGGGCAGTTGCAACCAAAAAATGATCAGGTGTGGTTTTTTCCTTGATGAAGATTTGTTTCGACCAGATTGGCGCTCAAATTGATTGCCTGTTGAATGTCTGCGTGAAAAAAAAGGATGAAATAAATGCTTAGTCGCATACAATTATGTATTTCCTGTCTCTTGTTTCGAGGTCCGTCTCATCGTCAGAAATTGGTGGTCCGGAAGCTGTCAAGTCCATCTCCATCGGAATTTCATGCAGCGAAGAGCTCGAACTCTCGGACCCCTAATTAGAGATTGAATTACCGGATTTTCATCAGATTGCCTCGAAATGCTCAATGTTCTTCTACATTATCTTAGGAAAATAATTATTGTGCCCGCTTACCATATCGAAATTGTCATCGTTTTGGACGTACATCCTTCCTTGCGCGATATGCGTACGTTACCGCATTTGACGACAAGTTATTGGGCTGAGATGTTCAAATCACGCTCAAATCGATGCGATAGACAGATGATGCGAATGCTATAGCCATTCGTAAGAATGACAGCTGCCACAAGCATTTCACTAGGTGTAAGAGAAAACAAATGACATGAAGAAACTGAAGCGCAATGTTCATTTTATTTCGTCAAAAGCGTTGTTTTATGACGAGCTGCAGTGACACTTGCAACTTTCACCATGTCTTCGCTGGCTCATTGACGAAGATTATTTGAGGTGCTTTGAGGTGACGAAGACTACTGAGGTGAATAGTTCATTCTTAGTTAGACAAGCTTCTGCCATGTCTAGATCACTTCGACGTTCCGAAACAACCCGTGAAAGTGATACAAAGGCGCATAATAATGGGGATCAAAAATCTCATCCATTACAATGATGCAAGCACCTTTTACATCAAAGTCTTATTTTCAGCTGATGGATTTCTGGTTTTGGTCTGATGAATGTAAGAAATTCTCCATAATTTCTTATGAAATTGATGAAAGCAACCACAAAAAGAAAAAAATCAGTGTTCAAGCCTCCATCTTCTTCAAGATATATGATAGAATTTTTGACATAGCTTATTATTTCTCACATAGTTACATTGTGCGCAATTGGATGACTGGAAGTAAAAAGAACCTAAGAGCACTGCTTTACAGGAATACTAAAGAATCTGAGCATGAATAAGCCAATGACTTGATCAAAACGTCAGTACACCTGTTAATCGGCAGTTATCCAAGCCAAAGCGACGAACAAAATTATCTACCTATTCTGATTCTTTGTAGATGAAGAGACGTGTTAGATAAATGGTATAGAAAGCCCAAAAGCGCCAAAAATGTCCTTCTGACATGATCAAATAAGTGATATACAGGGTGTCTCAAAAAGATGTGCACACTGTTTGATTGTTAATAACTCTCTTGCTTTCAAGTCTTTTGCTGAGCTTGAGGTACCATTTTTTAGAGCGAGGATAAACTTAGATTTACGTCATGGAGCGACTTATCAGCAGCTCTTCATTATTGTAGGATTACGGTGGGAATTTCGAGGAGGATTTTAAGCCATTGAAAGCGGTATTTTGCCTTAGAAAGAAAGCCAAACAAGCCAGAAACTCTTGAACTAGGTTAATCGAAGTGGCTGATTCTAAATATGAAAACTGCACGTCACTACACTGTTTCTTTCGTGAATTATCTCAGATTTAGGGTAACGACTGATTCTTCAATGTTTGTCAGAAATGTGAATAAATCATCGATAAAGCTCGAAGAATTGGTGGAAAGTTATGTAGTGAAATCAGCACGCCCGAAAACCTTGCTACACATTTTAGATTTTTTCGAAATTATTTTATCAAAAGGCTTATTCCACAGTGACGCTGTATGGTGAAAGTTCATACCGTGGTCCTACAGTAACGAAGAATGATTGATGATTCGCTCCATACTGTAAATCTAAGTTTATCCTCGCTCTACAGAATGACACCTCAGCTCGGCAAAAGACATGAAATCAAGAGAGTTATTAACGATCAAACAGTGTGCACATCTTTTTGGGACACTCTGTATAAGATCACAATAAAGACTTGTTATTTTTGCCAAGCTGGAATGAAATGGGTCAAATCAACAGAAACCTAATTCTTGCACAGTACTCATATGATCTTTCTATTAAGTTAATTTCCACCATAATCCAGAACATATAAAATGATGAACGGAACGTTAGCTTGACGTTAAAAAGTAATTCGAGCACGTCTATGTCATTATCGTAGTGCGGACTGCTTTGCAAAGTTAGGAAATGCAGATTTTCGTATCAAATTGCAAAAGAATGTGCAAGTGTGAATTGTGTACGCGTTTAGGACAAACAAGTGCCCAGTACTCTCAAATTCTCTGCTCGACATGTGTGAACAATTGCTGCTTGCAAGACCGAAAACCACTCCTTTAAGTCGTAGGTCTTGTATTGGTCGGAGTTCCTAGATAGCATTACTTCTTGCTTATTCAGATCGTTCTCTTTTTTCTCAAACAAATCGATCAACAAGGTGGACGTCCCAACTTGGAAATTGTGTGCAATGCCGCATCATTACCCAAAAAATCCTATAATTTTATAAGTCGCTGCCCCACCCCCCTAAGGTGGAGTTTAGAAGGTGCAGGTTACTAGACGGGTAAAATCTCATGCTATAGCTCCCCAGTTTCAGTCTAGAAAAAAAAAGATCTTGGTGGAATGGAAAGTTCAATTTTTCTGCATTTTTTTTTTGTAATTACGCAAGACACGGAAACAAGTCAAGCACATATCACAGTCATAAAGTGCGGAAAATGAGCTGGCAGCGTGACCATACATTTCAAAAATTTCAGAATTAGTTTATTAGCATTAAGGGATTGGGACTGTAAAGACATGATCTACAGCTCTGACAAAGTGATTAATGAAAATACCCGGACTGTTTGTTTTTGACCAAACGAAGCTATATGGTTAGTTATCATGATTGATCAATATTACAAAAAAATGAGAGAAAGGACGCTATAATGCAAGGAAAATTTGGTGTTGTCGTAAAGTTGATTATACGACGAGAGAGCTGGCATTGTAATTGAATTCGATGTTATGAAGAGATAAGAGTGGAACACGGATCAGCATATGGTCGTCAACTAGAGAGCTGCTCATTTCACATTCTCAATGATGACAGCCGCATGATCGACATTGTCGTTATTTTCTTTGTTTTCAATCGAAGCTAAAGCAGATCTATTATAACACATCATTTTGATCCTTTATATAAAGCTGAATGTCTGTTTGTCTGTATGTCTGTCTGTATGTCTGTATGTATATACGTATGTTCCGAATAGAAAATTTTATTTCTGAACCGATCCGGGCCTTACTTAGGACACCTACACTTCGGGGCGGGGCGGGTGTCGTAGGCTATTTTTCGTTATCGATCGATATCGATTTTATCGATTTTTTGCAAAATTTGAGCTATGGGGCTGGGAGTTGGCACAGGAGGGTGGTTGAGCATGCTGATTACAAGTATATTACTGACAGGGCCGGGAGGAGCCGCGTAAGCCGGCTAGTCACCAATAAGGCTTGCCGGTTCCAGTTTCTATAGCTATGAACACAGATTGTTCTGTAATTTTGAATTTTTGCTTTTTTTGATTTAACGAAGCGTAAGTACCACTAAAATGAAGCATCGAAATGCTCGCACAAATATTGCGAGCAGCTTCCCAAGAACGTCTTGTAAAAATAAGATAGTTTAGATTAGCATGGTATCTTAAAGATCTATAAAAGTAGACCTTTCCATTCGCAAAATACCTGATCAAGGGTGAGACGTCATTTATATAAGATAATCGCGGGTGACGTCTTCGAGCAAATCGCAGTATTTCGGCGAGCAGATGTTTGTTTTGAACGTGCTCTTCACCTATCTATCTTTCTACCTTGCTTGGAAACATCAGTAAGAAATTTTTTCTTATTATGTAGCAAAATCTATCCATTACCCAACACAACTATTACTTGCAGCATTTTATGGATACATAAATTACAGTAGTAACACTCTGCCAGTCTCTTTCATTCGTACAAATAAATTTCGTGGCCAGCACAGCGTGGAAAATGATCCTGAAGCAAAAGGCGATCAGCTTATTGCTTTGTTTTGCACACCATTTTTCAGGAGTGAGGATGACTCAAAGAAATTTAACGCCGTTTCTCAGCATTTCCGGACAGTTAGTGTCAGCTGGCATTAGGTTTTTTCTCAGTAAAAGCGAATATTCGTCAGTTATGAGGAACTACCTGCTCACTTCAGCGCTTTGCGAGAAATTCCTGAATATTCTTGACACGCGTTGCTCAAAAGAGTTGTATTAATATACTCCTTGCGACATGTAAGTTTCCCTCCACTCTTTGATCTTTCTACATTACCAGTAATGAGCTTCTCGTCATGTTTTCGTTCTTCTCGCTCTCGGCATTAACATTATAGTCACGGTAGTTTATTTTCAGTATTCCAAACACTCATTGTAATGTCGCAACTTCGGTCCCGCTCGATTCGAAAAAATTATCCTTTGTTTTGTCAAATTTACCACTCATCGAGTAAATTTGTTGTAGTCAACGGTTTAGAGTTGATCTGTTATGTAAGTTTACTAGACTTTACTCACAACTGTTGTAACAAAAGCATGTACCCTCATTTATTCTGCCATCTTTTCTGCATTTAGTCGTTATGTTCAGGACTCCTTGTCAAGCCTAGAAAATTTTTGTAAATATGCATTCTGTGGTTTGAGATGAAGTCTAGAAAGTGAATCTTGCCTTTTCGATTTTGCATATTGCAAAAATTGCTGTTGGCAAATAGGGCAAAACAAGCTCATATTTGAAGAGAAACAACTAAACTTTTTTTCTGCTTTTCATCCGTAAGAAGGCTGGAAAAATCAACAAAACTCTTTTAATTTTGCACGTGACCTCTTCCTAAACAATTCAAAATTTTTGCATATGTCCCTGCTAAAGTAATGACTAAGTTTTATTTCTTTCTAATAAAAGTGGGGGACCAGTAACCTAAAAATGCCATTTGAAAGAGCGTTCGCTTCGGGACCACCACGCAGTTCCCCGCTATTTGCAGATTTTTGAATTGAGTTAACGATTCTTTATATATTAGATCTCTAATCTGCATAAAAAACATTCACCTAACCATTCCGATTTTGGCGCAAGTTTCAGTTTATTTTTTTTTGACGATCAACCATACACAAAAAATTAAAATTGAGTAGTTTTCTTACAGCTTCTATCTGTGCAGTCTTTGCGTGTTGTAAAGTCTTTGGAATGCTATTATAAAGCACATAAGTTCCTCTTCTAAAAAACCTAGATCTGTGCAAATTTTGAAGCTATGAAAGGGTGCAAACGAAGTTTCGGGCCAATCTGACAGATGACCTTAGGCATGAGCTTGTCTAGAACTTGGACATTTTTCCCACATTCTCCTCAAATTTTTTGGTGCAAGACTCATGACAACCTAATAGCAGCGGTGGACCAATCACTAAACGAATTGATTAGCGATAACAGCATCTTCTTGACGTTCTTTGCATCACGATCCGCTGAGCTG